TGTATACGTGTTTTGTTTCCTACCAGAGTAAACTCAGATAATTGTTATAACTTTTGATTCCGGTGTTTTCAATTCCTTTCTTTATTAAATAGAGATCAGCCTCATCCAACGAACGGCGCGTAGCAGAGGGGGGGGGCTATCAGCCACCACCAATAGGTGTTCTGCTCCAACAGCCAGAAAAGAGGTGAAAAAGTGGCCCCGGGCCGGGCCGGGCCGTAACTAGGCCTAGTGGAAGCGCAACCAAAAACGGGCACGGCACGACACGGCACGCTTAAACCGCGCCATGGTGGAAATGCGCCATAACACAGCACCCAGGCTAAAAGTGGGCCGAAAACCTCTTGTTGCTTCAAATGCAGCATGTGCATGGACTTTACAGTAAGCAGTCTCCGAGATACTTATATACTGAACTCTGGCTGTGTACAAAAAGAATCGGCTAAGTTACCAGAGATAGAGACAAGCTGCAGATTGAGGGGAAGGCATATCCACTTGTAATGAAGAAAGCAGGGGCATGAGTACATGACTAAAGCACAGACACCAGCAATTTGCCTTATCTGGCCTGACAGGCTCTGGAGTGGAGGCAGAGAGGCAGAGAGAGAGAGAGAGAGAGAGAGAGAGAGAGAGAGAGAGAGAGAGAGAGAGAGAGAGAGAGAGAGAGAGAGAGAGAGAGAGAGGCCATTTTTGCTCAGGTCTTTTGCCACACAGAATGAGAGAAAAAGTCCTCAGATGTTGGAAGTGCTGCGAAAATGAAGCGGGAGGCACAACAAAGAGAGATAGCGAATGTCTGGAGCAAAACCGCAGCTGCAGAGGACCAGAGCTTTCTAACATGTTGGGTGAGGACATTAGTCAAGGTTTACAGCATTAACGAATCAATACTGGAGCAGCAATGAAGGCAAACAGTGATATTTGGATTCATCTTCATGCCGGCTGAAGGATATCGAACTGTATTCCTTGCCCAAAAACCCACGTGGGCCATAAATCTCAAATGTCAAAAAGTGCAAGACTGAATAATTCAGTTTGGATTCAGAAAATGTAAGGGGATAAAAGTAGGTGCTGACACCCAGTCTCTGTAATAAAAATGAATGTGTGAGGGGGATAGGATTACAGATAGAGTAATAATACTTTGATGTGAACACAGTATAAACTAGCATACAAAAGTCCCTAACAAAAAACATTTCACAGCCTTGAAGAGCTCACTGTCTTTGGGTTGAGCTAATAGGATTGCAGCATGGAACACTTTTGGCAAATTGATTAAGCTCCTGTCAGACGAGGGTAAATGAGACAGAGCAACACAAGTTTTCATAACTATTTTTGAATCTTTCAAAATGTAGTCAGACTTAGCAATTTATTTTTGTTGCGGGTGAGAAAGCCTTGGGGAGGCTGCAGCATTAACTGCACACGAAAAACTCGACGCCAGCTGCTTGTTGTTTCATTTCTGTCATTACTGTTTCCATGTATAAATACAACCCTGTACATAATGATTTTCCATGCGCAGTTACATCCAATGTTCTGATAAAGCGAGACACGCAGCACAGCTCAGTCTAATAAAGGATGCAGCCTACATTAGCATATCACACATGCTGCATCTATCTGTTGATCACATAAGCAGCTCACAACAACTTCAGCTCCAACTGTGACGCTGCCACAGTGATGGCTTTGGAGACGGGTGTGCTATACTTTGAGACAGGTAGGATGAAACAAAACGCACCAGCAGGAGTCAAGCTAGAGGCAGATTCTCCGTGTTCTTTTGCACACTTCACAAACTTCATGTTTTGGATGGCTTGACAGATTGGGTTCGGCAATAGGCCCTTGTGTCTGTTCTTTTAACTTACAACAAAGAAGCAGGACAAAGTGGCACCGGGGTTTGAACAAAGTGAAGGAAGACTCGCTGACATGTTTTCCACAACCATATCCGACAAAAGACGGTGTCTGCAATCTGTGAGATGTGGAAAGACTGTAACACATGCAGAATGCATGGATGATATTATTGTGGGATGAAAAGTGAAAAGTGAAAAGTGTTGTGGGTGAGCATGTAAGATGCTATAAAAACACTACGTTCAAGATGTAAGCAGAATGTAATTCTAGTTGCAAAAGCATTCCTCCCTTAAAAACACAGCTCCTCTGTTTGCCAAAATATGTGGGAACAGAAATATTTTCTGAGGTTTTCATAAACCGACCGGGCCAAAGAGACAGTGGCTAAAGCCAGAGGATATATCAGGATGCTCCACCAGAGCTCATGTAACCCTCCCTCATAGATGTAACTACACATCAGGGCTGGGGAGATACCACATAGCAACCACAGACAATGTGATTGGTCAGCTTGGCCTGCTTGCATTTTTCTCCGTATGTGTTTCTGATGGCAGTAAAGATTAGGAGAATTCATGTAGCAATTCTAATTCAATATCAGTATCATGAACAGATATAAAAGCGGGAGTCTATTCCCATGCACAATTAGCCACAAAGGCACTTAAATAGTGTGCTGTTAGAGCAGTGAACCTTATTAACCTCTTCACACTCACCGGACCCACTGGTGGTGACTCATGAACTGAAACTATTTATTCACACTGAGGTGATAAATACATGCCACTTTATAATAATTTTCTATTTTGCGAGGAAACAAGCCGTTGCAAACATGTGAGCATCCGGCAACTGAATGATAAAATAAAATGTTTTAAGGGATTTATCCATCTATTGCACTAAATCCAAATACATGATTGACACAAGATAATAGCTGATGATAACAAACGTGTTGCCAGTGATTTAAAGTTACTTAATTTACTCAAGTATTGTAATTAATTAACATTTTGAGGTTAATGTTATTTAAAAATGTTTTTCCATTTCCTGTTATGTTATACTCAACATTTTCTATCTTCTTATTTTACCCCACTACATATATGTGACCAATTTAAATACTTTGAAGATTCAGATTAATAAAACCAAATTCTAAGCCGCACATTATTTACTGTAAATATATTATGATGCAAATACTTTTATAGGATACAGGATTTTTTTACGTGAAACAGTGTTTCCACTTGGTGGTTCTACTTTTCCTGAAGAAAAACCTCACAGCTTTTTGCCTAATAAAAAACATGCCTCGAGCTACGTTTGCACATGTTTTCTGCTTTTGATATAATGACTTTATTTCAGCTTTATTTCTGCCCGACAAAGGTGAGTGAATTTGAAAAGAGTGAAACTCCTACTGTGTGGTGACCAGTACGACCTCTGAGTGAGAGAGTGTGGGTGGACGGTCCAACTCTGAAGAGTGGAGGTTGGTGCAAAAACAAACTAGGTAATGCTGTGTGTTTTGTGAGGATGTTAATACTGATATGATTGGACATAAGGTCATTAAGCCCAATCCTGATTGTCACATAATAGAACATTTTATCTTAAAATTAGATTTTGTTCCATAAAAAAGAGACTTTCTTGCTCTATCTCTGAATGAAAAGTTACATTTGAACGTTTATCTGCCTCAGAGCGATGACATTTGGTTAATCTTTTCTGAAGAATATTGACCTCTAAAAGCTCATGACCTGAAGATGGCTTTACAAAGGTAATGCGTTCAACCAGCCACTATTTAAGAACAGTTCAGATTGCGTGCAAACATACTGCACTGTATCTCCCAATGCCAAAGTAACCCACATGCTGCAAATATGCCTGCTAGAAACTAATATGTGACTGTCTGGAAATCTAAAACTGAAAAAGGAAGAAATAAAAATAACCACACCTAGTAATTATTTCTGTTTTAACATTTGCACTGCTTGTCGTTTTCCCTCCTGAATAATATAAATAAAGTTGAATCAGAAGAAAAAAATCAATCTCAACCAAGCCAGGCTCCTGAGCAGAGATGGCTATCGCTGTGAGAAACAACAAAGCAAGTCTGCAGACTCAGTGGCTCACACAAACACAAAAATCTGCCTGCAGCCAGGAAAAACATCACTACAGGTGTAATTACCGGTGTCTCGGATGCATTTGTTGTTCACACAAGCTCTTACATTTTCTGTTCCATGCCAACAGAAAAAATCCAAGCCATTTGGGAAACTAATTTGGTTATAGCTACAGTATCCATTTATCCATCTCTTGTATTATGACTTTGCAAATGCATGCGAGTAAAATTGTAAAACAACTAGAAATGAGCAAAGCCAAACATTGAAAGCAAAATATGCATGCGAAAAACAACAACCACAAAAACCTTCTTATCCAGTCACAATTTCTAATTTGACAGTGTGAGACTAAGGACTCTGCTGGAGGCCACAAATGTAATCTTGACTATTTTAAAAGATGAAAGGGCCACAAATTGTGTCGGACAACTGGAACAATGATTGTGAGCTGGAGTGGATTTAATGTCAAAACAGCAGCCTGGCACACTGACAATGCTCACTAGCCCGAGGCCCACTCCTACAATCGCTGTCTTATTACAGCCTGTGCAGCTGTAACGCAGCTCTGAAATGTGCAGATTATAGAAAGCAACATCCTGATACTGTAACCCAGCAATGACTCAGAGCTGTATGTATATTTGATAGTTTCATTATGCATGTTTCCCTCTCATGTCTGTGCACCAGCGCGACAAAGACAAACTCATGTCCATTTATTGTACTAGGCGATTAAAGCCGTTCTGATTGATGAAAGGGCGAGAAATTCATTTAGTTTGTTGAATTAATGGGGGAATTAAACATGACGCCTGTTCCTCAAAAGCACAAGCCTCCATGCGCAGCAAAAGGCCAACTTCTTCCAGAAATAGCTGAGCAGTTTGGAATTGTAGCGCAGCCCCGCACCCTGGTGACTTAGTCTCTGATTTATTCTGTCATTACTGTGAATGATCGGCCCTTCAAAACTCTCCTCTATTATCTGCAGACGGGATGACGAACAATATTTCATTTTGATTCAAGCATTTATTGCGGTGATTCTGGGTAAAGACCACCTGCCTGTAACCCTAAGAGGCCACCTATCTCTGCCCGGCATGCACACACATACGCACTTATAGCAGATATATGAGCATTTCTTACCGTTCTGGATGTCCAATATGTGGTGTTTGTCTAACATCCACCCTCCCATGGTGGATGCATCGAGTTCATAGCCTTGTAACACAGCAGTCCTCTTCTCCCAGAGCACCACATCAAGGCAGGACTCGTATTCATATCCCACCGACACTGAAAGCAATGATGGCAGATTCCTATGGTGAGCAAGGTTGCACCCTCCTTACCTGACACTTATGGCAGCAATGAGGCTTGTAGCCCATACGACATTCAGCGCACGTTGTGGCAGTTTTTTTTTTCCTGTACTCCCGGGTTCTGCTTTCTCGTTGACTATATCATTTACTCCAGCTGGGAGGATTTTAGAAGACCTGTGGGGTTTCTGTGCCTCACCTGCAGAGTTTGGATTGTATGCCTGCTCTTCTCGTTTGTTTTATCTTGTGTAAATGCAAATACACCACAATGCAAAATAGCGTGTGAAGAGGTATGAATTATTTAAACGATAACGTCTCAGATGGAGAACATTACAGTTAACATCATAAACGCTACGATATGCTTGCCAGGAATGAATCCTGTTGATTCATTCCTGGCAAGTGTGGTTCCTGCGCTGCAAGGGTTGGTTTTCTGTAATAAATAACTCAAACATTCGTCTTTCTTAACAGAACTCCTCAGACATGTTCAGACTTTAAAATTATTTTTGTTGCAACACATTAAAGCTAGGGTAGGCAATTTATACTAGGAGTTATTTTGTATAGATTTGCTGAAATTCTCTTTACATCCCAACAGCAATATTGAAAGGGGTTCACAATGAATAAGGAAATCAATCTTGTGTATGTGTGGCTGTTTAAGCCGGTAACAGGCATACCTTGATGTCTACAGCGCGCACTCTGCCTGTGAATGTATTGAGGTATCTGGATAAAGATCGTGATAATAATAATGCACTGCACTTCCCTCCAGTGCTCTCTCAGTGCACTTACATGTGTTTTGGGGCAGTGTTTTTTTGGAGAGAGGCCTGGATACTTTCAAAACAAACCTTAATCTTGTTGGGTTCTGCAAAGTTGCCTAACCAAGCTTTAAGATGCGGCATGGAGTAACTTCAAAAAGCCCTAATGTAGTATAACATTCAAGGCGACACTTAAATCATTATTTAAAAACATAAATAAGTTATTTTGTTATGTATGATCTCATCAAATAGTCTGTTATCATTTGTGTGTTTTTTTCTCAGTCTACTGCCTCATAGGCAGAAATGTAGTCAGCGCATGCTGCGGAAATATCATACATGCAAAACAAAGAAGTCAGCAAAAGAGCAGTGGCCTTCAAAAATGCAGCACTGGGGGGATTTCACACCACCTGCTAAATCTTTATTGCATATGGTAACAAAAGCAGTCCCCGGATAAATAATCCTCAATTTAGAAAAATAAAAAAATCAATTCTCAAAAGTTCAACCAAGGTTCAGTGCCTGAAGGTAGAGTGAGCCTGTGAGTGAACCCACACTTACACAACATCTTCAGACAGCAGCTTCACAGCATGTACTCACCCATTGCCTCTGCGAGGCCAAAGACCCTCTGACTGTAGGCGTCTGTTTTATCCCAGATGAAGGTGTACGAGAGGTCGGGGAAGGCAGGGAAAGACTTCTGGAACTGACGGCCCATGACGGCCACCATCAGGTGGACCTTCATCAGGCCGAAGGGGAGGCGGTCCGGGGTCAGCAGCACCTTGAGGATGGGCTTGTAGCCAGGCGCCCTGGAGCTCAGGTAGACCAGGTTCAGGTCACTGCCTGGTATAGCAACTTGCTCATGAAGGACCTATGATTTTAATTAGCAGTCAGACCGGTGCCAAATACACAGTGTGAGGTATGGACTTAAGTAACAGGAGGAACAGCGGTTTCTTGGCATCTTCCATTACACTGTATATTACACAATACTTTTCTATCGCTTATATGTACAGATTGTGGTCACACTACCTCACTGCTTTTTGATTTGATTTTAATTTAAAACTGCAACTACTTAATAATGTACATATGTTCATAAATGTATATTATAATAGTGAATTTGTCTATTATAGAGTATTTTAACTTATTCTGTATATTTGATCATGTGTACGGTTTATTTTATTGATACATCTATTTTCTACTGTGGATTTTTGTATTATTGTATTTTATTTTATAATAATTTGTACTCGTGTGTAATGCCTGTTAATATGCTGCTGTTACAAAAAAACTCATATTGGGATGAATAAAGTGCTGTCTATAGTATCTAATCTAATAATCATAAATATACTGTATGTACAATTCAAACATTATGAATTTGTGTTAAGCAGTGAAAATATATAAAACAAGTTCTTACTTATGCATAACTACTACAGTACATCAGTCCAAATGCAAACTGAGAAAACTTCACAGGCAATAAATGAATTCAAACTTTTACTTGAAAGCTTTGAAAGCCACGACTCTAATAATTATCTTGGTCTTACTCTCTTTTCATCTCAAATTCCCAGTTCCCTTGACCATGTTTCACCTCAGACTGCCACCGAAGCATGTCCTCAATTCAGATTTCTCCCTCAAATGTAACAACGTTTTATAATTTCCTGCATAGCAATATTCAGGGTCTTTAAAAAACTCAGATTTCAGCCAAACGCATACCAACCGAATCCTGAGGCATAAAACCTTCACCCTAAGAATTTATCAGTATCACTGCGAGACAGTTTATGGCTTAGTATTTGGGGAGATGCCTCAGTTCCATCTAAGCTCAAAGGCAAATGTGAAAATAAGCTATGGCAAAAGGAAGATAGCAGCATTATTGTTACTCTTGTTTGTGTATTTAAGACACTGCTGCTTGTAATGTTGGGATCAAACATGGGTTGAATTATTAAAGGCATTCAAAACAATCAGATATGAGCACAACAGTGGAATTGACCATAAAAGCTCCGTAATGAGATCTCCTTTGGGTCACCTCTGTGTCTCTGTGTCTCACCTGGGTCTCCGGGATGATGGGGCTGTCCTCGGGGGACGTCTTGTACAGAGTGGAGAGGGGCGTGGCCAGGATGAGGGGGTTGGGTCTGATCAGGCCGGTGAGGTAGCAGCTGGGGATGTCGTTCTCCTCACGCTTCATCACCACCGTGTCCATCACGTGGAAAACGTTCCAGGGCAGCCACACAGTGCGGTGCAGCGAGGGGAACGGGGCGCGCTCGTAACTCAGCGTCAGAGAAGCACCACCATTGGCCAAGAGATCGAACCTTAACACGGCATCATCAAACCAAAAAAAGATCACATATTGGAAAAACTATATGTTGGAAAAATACTGAATGTACTCTTTCAATATCAGAGTAGCTGACATGATAACAAAGGCCCTACGTAGCTGTGTACGTAGCCGGATGTATGATTATATAGAAGAAGCTCATGAGACTCTGTGTTGAACATACGATAGCTATGTTCCAATGATTAACATGATGGTTCAGCCCCTAGGGAGATAGGCTGTCATGTTTATTGCTTACGTGGGTCTTAGCTAATCTGAACTAAGCATATAATATTGCTTTGAACCGGTATAGATGTATCTTGTGACTGAATAACACCCTGTCTTCTATATAAGCATATGAAGGACACCGTTTGAGGAACTAGTTGTATCATATGCTCTGTATGTGATGACTACTTCCATTCTTGCAAGCATAATAAATACATGTATCCTGATTATTGAAGCTCAAACCGGTGACGAGTGAGATTTTTCCAACACTATATGAGCGGTAAATGGACTGTATTTGGTGCTATCTGCAGAGACTTGCAGTATTTTATTTATTTTTTGGTAAATCTTTTTTGCTCTCTTAAGGATTGCTAAGCTCTAGGAGCATGGTGTCAATCACTTGAGATCAACTAAACCACAAGACCAAATAGAAGCCACTCAGAAAGCACTGTTAGCTTTCAGATCAGACACATCCATGTTTGCTTGTTAAGTTAGAGGTGAGAGTCTTGTGCACGCAATCCGGCCCCAGACTCTGAACGGGATATAGTGAGATAGCTCCAAAATGTAATGGGTTCTTCCTTGGCCCATGCTACTCATCTCAACAAAGTCTCATTAAAACGGGGGCAAGTTTTTCCACAATCTTTCTGACAAACAGACAAACAAACTAATCAAAAATCCTAACCTCCTCGGCAGAGTTAAATAACAAAAACAAGGTAAAAGTTGAACTTGGATTCATGTTTTCACTGCCCATGTTTCTTGCTCTGTCAGACTTCTTTTTGGCAATGTTATTACTGATAGGACTGTTAGCCAGAACTATGTCAAAAAGCCCTAAAGTTATAGTAAACTGAAACATCTCTTTAAGTGCTGAAGAACAAAGTAAGTGTTCCATCTCATGACTTCAATGGAAAAGAAAACTTTCCCTTATCAAGTCTATTCCCTCTCTACAGCGTTCATACTTTATTATCATTCACTGAATCTAATGTATGACTTCTGTTTAACCAGGCATGGTGTGAGAAGACACTTTATGGTTGAATTTGGTTTGGAGTCTTAAGTCTTAGGAGTTCATTCTGGTGAACTATTTTTAATTAGTACGATATTACTCAGGGAAAACGTACTGGTTTGGAAATGAAGGGCGAGTCTTTGAAGTGCTGCTCTATATATTCTGCGAGCTCCACTACCCAGGGGGTAACGCATCTGTGTGGTGACATTGCATGCATTCACATGCACAAAGACACACACTCGCAGATTTGAATGCTTATGCACGTCTCTCACACACACATTCACACTCAGGAGGACACACACACACACACACACACACACACACACACACACACACACACACACACACACACACACACACACACACACACACACACACACACACACACACACACACACACACACACACACACACACACACACACACACACACACACACACACAACACACCACACATACACACACACACACGCCAACAGTCAAGCTGTGCAGCTGACCTAAAACAGCTTCCTTCTCAAGCTCTCTCCACTTTGGGCAGCGAGGAGCTCACAGCTGCAAGAGGCCAGGCTTTGATGCCGCCCCCCCCCCCTTTCTTAACACACTGAGCGGATCTGTTGGCTAACCAAGTGTGATTATCCCCAACCATTTATCACGCTACTTGTCAGAAGAGTTACAGGGCGGAATATCTGAAGAAATCAGCTAATCCTCAGCTATCTGGGGATCCAAGGATTGTGCCTCATAACAACAGCTGTACAATTCTGTTCCACTTATAAGCCTTTTATTCCATACTGGCAACACATAAACACGTCTGCCGCTGAATTTGAATGGGCCACTATCTCTGACCAGCATCTGCAAAATAAAGCTCCTACCTGAGATGAACCCTTCCTGTAAAATATGTGTCATACATTTGTGTCGTATGTGTTTGCACCCTCATTATTAAGGACCCGTCTGCGGTAACAGCAGGAGAAGGTCAGACAGTAATCCCATGTTTTACTACACCGCGGGCAGATTGATTCTACCCTTGCTGATTCAATGCATTTTAAACAGCCTGGTTCAAAATGGCCACTACCACTGTGACATTTGCGTGAGGAATTGTTCTAGGGCACAATGTGCAGTCGTTTCAATTTGTTTTGAGCACTTTTTGGATAACTGCCAGGACAACTCTGCCACTGTTGGACAGCTTTCCCTGCATTTTTCCATACTGTTCTCGGGATAGCGGCCAATGCCACAAATACATTTTTGCAAGGGCCACAGTTGAACCCTAATGGCTGAGAATCCTGCTGGAGGGTGCTCATGTTTATTTGGACATGTAAATCAGTGTTAAAAAATGCAGATGGATGGCTGTTAGTCCCTGAATGTTGCACCTACTGATGCATGTATGCACAGAGTGACTCTCTTACATGCCGTCCTGCCGGGTGATGGTGTAGCCGTACTCGGGGTAGTGCAGAAAGGACACGTTGACTCCGATCAGCGGCGTCCCGTCTCCCGTGAGGACCTGACCTCGGATGACTGACGCCAGGCTGTGTGGGCAAACAAACACAGAAAGAGCTGAATAAACAAACAATGCCAGCCGGAGACAACACGCAGCCACGGCACCAACAACTGCCATCCCTTTGCCAGTGGCACCAGCAGGGAGGTATGATTTACTGAATGTTAGGAACAAGTGTGCCAGGGGATGTTATTCATGAAAATGTCACCTTACAGAGCACCTCTCCGTCTCTGTTTACTGCTTTAAAAGCCCATAATTCAGTGTGATGAGATTTTCCAGACATGCAGGACTTGTTAAGGTTTTTTGCAGCATCTTGCACGTGTATTGCAGCATTTATATTCCATGAGCACACAGAAGTGGATGCTTATTTGTTTAAGACAAACACAGCTATACAAATGTACAGATCTCAGGGCAATTCAATTTGTGAGGCAGGCAAAGAAAACAGTGTATTCTTCACAAGATTTACTGATCAATTATCAGTCTGGGTAATTAAGTCAGTAAATGAAGTGCACAACAGAAGGCATTTCAAATGACGATATGTGAGAGAAAACATTGACAGTATTGTTATCACCACGACCTTGCAAGTACTTTGCTTCCAAAAAAGAGCTTCTTGTCAGTGTCATACCCGAGTCTTGTGCTCGCTAGCGTGATAAATGTGTGTGGTACTGTGATGAAAGATAATATATAAACAATAATTTTGTTAGAACGAGCTCTTCAACTTGGTAACAGATATCCTCTTGATGTGAGAAGTTGCAAAACTCGACGACTGACGTGTCAAGAGGCACTTCAGGAAAAAAAACAGGAATTCAGAAACACAAAATGTGATGCCGCAGGCAAACTGTCACAAAGGAAAAGGAATGAAAAAGGATTTGAAAAAAGAAACGGAACCATACACAATAATCACCACAGCACTTTAGAAAAGGTGAATCATAAATAGGGTAAGTGTGAAAAGAAAATTCATTTTGATTACAAGAAATATAAAATGTTCGGCAGTGAAAAGTCAGAATCTGAAGGTTTTTCTAAATGACGTCTGTGGAGGAACAACATGTCCCCCTTTAGAAAGAATAAAAGCTGGAGAGGTTTTCTGAACAAAGCACCTCTTTTCTTCCAGACGTTTTTCTGAACAGTCGCACCCGGCGGCTGCCTTATATAACCCGCCTCCCACTGCTGGTCAAAGAGCAGGTAGGGAGGGTTAAATGCTGCACTTAAGGGCACCTCATGGTAGTTAGTCTAGCATGGGGGAGCATTACTCATTCACAATGCTCACCCAGATTCTCCCTGCTGGCAAATGGATTTGCTTCTGGTCAAAAAGCACTCCACCTCCAGCATACCCTCACCTGCTTTGACCTAGAGAAAGATGTGTTTTCTTTGGCATTGTGTCTCCATAAATCACAGAAACGGTAGCTTCATACATGATTTAAGCCTTCTTCTGTGATTATTCAACATGACTGCAGGGCCTTCAGGTAAAGCTTGCTGCTGGTATAATCTTAAGTGTGAAGTAATCATTTTTTAAGTCAATCCTTTGTTTGAAGGTAAGAAGAGGAGACAATTCGATATTTCTGCGTCAACATTTAATCATTCCCTTCTTCTCAACCAGAGCAGAATGTTAAACGTGCTCCTTCTACATTTTTCACTGGTTGGCCAAAAGATGTCTCATTTTGCCACTTTATCTCCGGGTCATTACGTATATGAGACTGGGATGATCAACAGCTTTAGCCTCTCTTATTTCCCTCCCGCTCCACAGCCGTCTCCCATCCTTTATTTACCGGCTCAGGGAACAAGGCCACTTAAGAGCCCCGGCGAAGGTTCTCTCTTTCTTCCCTGTGTCTCTATTAATCTTTTGAGAGCATGCTACAAGAGCCGAAACCCCCAAACAAACGGCAAGTCCCACCACCTGCTGAAACCCCAGAAATGAATCATATAATTCTTGCATTCTTATCCGTCATTGTCTCACCCCGGCTGTAGAAAAACTCCATCTGAAAACCCAGTGGGAGACTTGTGGGGCGACATGTGATACGGCTGGGGGACCAGTGGGCAGAACAAAAACCCCAAACCACAACACATATTTTATTCTCTGTGCTATACGGGGGACGAGTTTACTACCGAGTTCTGAAACCTGAGTGCACGCTGAAATCGACTCCCTTTCTCATGGTGCTCACAATGGTTTCTTGAGAAAATAGAAGGAGAAGAGTGACCTCTAACAGTTTTGCTTTTCTGTGCCGTAAGACATCAGATACTCCACGTCGAGGAATACAAGTCACCGCAGCTGTTGGAAGTCTTGATGCTGTTCTGTCTTTGTTCCAAGGCTTCAGAGACCTTTTTTTATAATGTATACTCTGCAAAGGCTGCCAATAAATTATTCACCCTTTAACCTCAAATGAACGTTTGAAAAATATGGGTCTCCAAACAAACTCTGCCGATACTACCCTCTACATCGTTATGTGAATCTTTTAAAAATACATAATGATACTTTTGTTGAATACATGCATCTTTGCAGAGCCTATAAAATGCACAACAGTGTTTTTTACTACAAAACTAACTTCTACAAGAAGATAAAAAAGCTAAATGAGTATTTTGAGCAAGAGAGCTAATGCCGCGGCCAGACATGAAATCGACAGTAAGCTGAAGACAATGAGAATGAGGATTATTGAGAACCCGGCTGGGAGGGGGGATTGCCTCATTCTATATTTTCAGTAAAGCATGCTATTTACATAAGGATTACTTTAAACTATTGGAGGAAATATTCCCAAAGCCTTCTGCACACAGTTGGCAATCATTTTCCTCTCCATCAGTCGCAAATCAAACTCCACTCATGATTGGGAACAGATGTGGGAGTGCACTGAGGTTTTGGTAAAAAATGTAACTGTCTCCGCAGTTTGCACATGATGTAGCCCAGTGGTCCATTCATTGCATAAAATATTCTCTTACTTTGTATTAAACATCTTTATTGAATGGTTTTACCTTGGATGAGGACATCAAAACTTTAATTCTTTCAAAGAAGCTGAGGCAAATGTGAGGTGTCAAGATGAACAAAAAGCCAGCCTCCCCACTTGAAAGTTAAAGGCTGTATTCATGCCCATCATTGTAAAAATGTCCTTAAAATACCTAGACCACACTTTCTCCTCTCTATGTAGATATTGTATACTGTAATAATGAGAAACTAGAAAAATATGCAATGATAAATACATTTTTATTCGAACGACACCATAGAAACAAGATAAAGGCACAGCTCTGTGAGTAGTTTAGTCTATTTGAGTCTGTTCCGTTCATGATGAATGCAACTTACGTATTACTTAAAGTGGACCTATTATGCTATATTGGAAAAATATATTGTAGGGCCATACCTATACAAAACATGTCTGTGAGGTTTTTTGCTTAAAATACCAAACAGTTCACCCATTGTAGCCATCCCTCATACTGCTCATACCCCTCTTTTGAAGCCCTGTTAGAGAAACGCGGATTTTGGGTCCTTAGCTTGAAAAAAAAAAAAAAAGGAGGCGGAGCTAATGCCTGATCAGAATTCTACCTGGAGATAAAGTTAAATTCTGCTGTGATAGAACGCCATCCTGTTCTAAACCACATCAAGGATTATTTCTGAAACAGTATGGAGCTCAAATGCTTTTTCTCTTGCAGGTTTATCACAAGGTGAGTTCTTTTTTTATTTCCTGCTTTTTAAAACACATGTGCTCTCCAGTACAGGTTAGCTCTGAGTGTTAGCGAGGCTTGCTAATGTAAACAAAGACGAGATTACGTCCAAAACACGTCAGGCATTGTTTCTGATAGCAACTTTCTGTGGGTCCGCTGCCGATTTGACGTCAGAAAATCTGTATCCGCTCGTCTTTTAAAAACAGGGGTACACCCTGTTTTTAAAAGATTTGGGTACGGAGGAAAAGAGAGAGGGTTTTATTTTCTGACGCTGCGTGAGTTCCCCGACGCACTGGGGACACATATTTATGCATAAAAGACATCACAAAGTGCATTTTGCATGATAGGTCCCCTTTAACTTTCCACATAGCAACATTTCCACGTGTCTGATAGGCCTACTTTGGTTGGCGTGTTAGCATGCTATCTTCTGCTGTTGGGAAATCAACACAAATTAAGAGTTGATGCTGATGGGAATGTAATTGGTTTTTGTTTAATTGCAAACCAAAGTAGGCCTATCAGACACGTGGAAATGTTGCTATGTGGAAAGTTAAGTGATAAGGAAAGTAAGTTGCATTCATCATGCATGAAGGGAACATGAATGTTTGCACAACATGATTGGAACATGAATTTTTGCACAACATTTTCAAGCAATCCTTAAAAAGATTGTTGTCAGGATTTTCACAATTAAAACAAGGTGTCCACCTGCTGGTGGCGCTAGAGGAAAGGCAGGAGATCTCCAAAGCCAGCAGGATTCATCCTCTTCTAATGCACTCAGCTCTGTTTGATTGTTAAGTGCAGAATACAATTAACTTGTTGGCTCTTTGCACACTCTGTGATTGGAACAATAATAATGTGGTTTACTGTTGGATAAACAGATTCTACAAAGATAAAAGCAACTTTAGAGCAAATATCAGAGAGAATTTTTTTTTCTTTGTTTGTCTTAGATATTAAGATATACTGTAAAATGGGCAGCACATTCATGATAAAAAAAAAAAGAAAAAAATTGGTTACTGATAAAGGATCTACATAAATGTGCAGGGAAAACGGTCTCTTCAGAAAGATGTTTCCTTTCCAATTTGGAAACGACATAGCACTGTTATCTTGGAATAAGAAAGATTATCGTTATTCCTTCACAGTCATGAGTGTTGTTTTTAGCTCACTCTTGAGCTTTTTAATCTTGACTGCTGAAAGACATAAACATGTGTGGCAGCGACACCACTGTAAACACACTTGTCACTGTGACTGCAAAGACAATGAGATGTGATGTTCTTTGACGTTTTGGAGTGGCTTCCCAGACACCCGTGTCTCCCGACTGGTAATGAGACAGCAAACAGCCGACGTGATGCAAATGATGAAGTAGCCACATTAAGCCGCCTACCTGCTGTTGAACGGGTTATCCCAGGGTATCACGTGACTGCCGCTGGGGCCAATCAAAAAGCTGACGCGGTCGTAGAAGCCCTTGGATGTGGGCTGGGTGGCTGAACTCTGGCTCTGGCCGGCGATGGCAGCGGGGTCAGGTGATCCGCGACAGTACGTCTGACCCTGGCACGAGACCTGAGTGCAGCAATCTGGATCCATGCAGTCGACAAGTCCATCTGGAAAACAGGACGGACAGTCAATACGAGGAGGGGAACGCTTGGTTGACCTGGATGCATCCGGAAACGTGTGCCATTATTGTGTTGAGCTCTAGTGCACACAGATGCCTTCTTACGTGAGCTCCTGACATGAACGTTTGAAGTATTTCAAAGTGTGTCACCTCAAAAGTTATGTGTGTGTTTATCAGCACTTTGTTTGACATGCAGCCCCAGAGAATTGATATATACTCAAAAGTACTCTTTATAATTGATCTACTGTATATTTTAAAGCGTGCTGTTTAACAATCTGCTCGGCTACAGCATTTGCATATTCTTTCCAGTGATGTTTTATGTATGATTGATTTGTTGTGTTTGTTTGCACTGTCACAGAGGAGTCACATCAAAGCCAATTTTCAGTCTTGCACAATAAGAGTTACAGAGCGTTTTCTCTGAAGCTAAAAGATTATTTGTACGAGGCTTTTATAATTCTTCCTACCTCCCTCGTTATCCTTGCCATCAGAGCAGAGCGTTTCCGTCGCTACATCGCATCCCAACCCGCGCCACCCTGACTGGCAGATGCAGTGCCAGACGTTCTGATCCAGGACGCACCTCCCGTTGTTGTTACACAGCCCGGGGCAGCCGTCTGTCAACACATCATGTACGTGTCAAACAGCAAAATCAGAATGAGGAAATCAGGAGGAGAAGGGGAGTGAAAGACAAGAGTGAGGGGGGCATTGAGAGTGGACAGAGGGCAGAGGAGGGACACAAATGATAAAAGACAGTATTGAGTGAACATACAGAACAATACACCTCTGACAGGACTTGGGATGTGGGGGAGGGTGTGAGGAGTTACAGTTGTTTCACATGAGTTTATGGAGTATGTAGAACTCCACTGAAAAGGAGAACATATTAGATAGGAGGAGGAAACATGCTGAGCTGTTTACTTAGAGTTAAAAAGGCCAATGGGATACACTGTGAATTCATGTTGAGTCAAATCCGTGGTGATTGGAGGGTTTATTTGTTGTCTTTAATCCATGTTTGCATATTTCTTTATGAGTTGTTTTCGGGTTGCGTGAATTCTCATAGTGTGATTTTCAAATTGAGGGCAATTTCTGAGTTTTCCTGTATTTCAATCACAGCTTAGAGAGTTCAAAGTTGCACAAATCCCATTTAAGAGGCTGAAAACCAGCGAGTGTCTAGGAACTGCCTTGCCTTGGCCTGAAAATAATTTACGAAGGAATAGGCTATTGCTGATGTTAAAAACACTCATGTGAAGTAACGGAAACATCAAAGGGAAGAGGAAGTATATATGTAAATAGGAAGGGGAAGAAGTGTGGGAAGAAGGGGGAGGATCTAGAGTTTCTACATTTTTAGAAAACAGAGCACTTGCTGCCAGATCGCATTCCTTCTAGTGGATGGTGAAGACAGGGAGTCGAAACATGACTAAACCACACCAGTTTGGGGCGTTTAATCTGGCAGACACAGGGAATTAAGACAGGGGGGTGGGGAGCAGTGACCGTGGAGTCTGTGTGAGACTGGTTAAGACGGACAGGAAATGAGGAAACATATCGGGCGAGCAGGATCACAGCAGGAACATTATGATCGACTCGGACAAAGAACAGGTGTATAAACGCCGTGCTAGGAAGACAAAGAGCAGGGAGGGATTGTTTGTGACAATCTCCCTTGGGGGGATAGTGGTTCAATTTACCTTTATATCCTATCTTGACTGGTCCTATTACACAATCGAGGAAAAGGAAACATTTGGAAAAGAAAAATTACTTATCTCTTTGGTGGCAGAGAGCTAAGACTGACAAACACATTTCCTTATGTTAACTTGCAGGGGAGCACAAAGTGAGAACGCTTGCTGGCATAAAGCTGATGTACCTGCCAACTTGTTTGAAATACTTGGGAAAGAAGCTTTGCAGGTAGTTTTCCCGAAGATTATAGTTGGCTCGCTTTCGTTTTAGTTTCTGGTCTAATTTCAATCTCTCCACTGTGTATGGTAATCATAGTCGTTATGGAGATTGAGCTGAATACTTATTACTAAGCATGAGTGACAGGATATGACTGGAAAGCTGCGAGCTCACCCCTTTTATTTTAATTTTTTTAAATTTTTTACAGAGTTCACTTTTTTTTTTAAGCAACATAAAGGTGTTCTGGATTTGAAAAAAACAGATTGCATTTAGAGTATAATTCTCAAGCAAAGTGAAAAGTGTTTTACCTGATACTCTGGAATCCAGGGCTATACATGTAAGCCAAGAGGGAGTTGGATAGAGATAGAGAGGTAGGCAGACAGGCATACAGACAAAATAGAAAAGAGAATGGATATAAGTAGAAGTTAGGCAAAGAAATGCAAATAGAAAAACATGTAGGAACATTTGAAGGAGTTTTATAGAGGGATAAAGGAGACAGAACCTGCAGTACGGGAAGGAAATGCAGTATTTGACAGAGTGCAGATGTTAATTAAAACAGCAAGTGATTCATCAGAGTCGTATATGATTCCATGTTTAAAATTGTCACGTATTCTGTAAAAGAGCCTTAGATGGTGATTTCTGTTCATATAGCAGCATAAATGAATTCAGCTTCTTACGCTTTGCGAAATATTCATTGTGCTCTCTGTGATCTGATTTTCTTTGCCAAAACAAGACAGGCCAACACAAAGAAGAACACTGGATTTCTCTTGATATCTGGTTGTTAAAACACTGTTTGTTTTTTTCAGACTATACAGTATTATGTCGTTTTTATCTGGAGCCCGCTTCACAACATTTTACTGTCTGCTTGTCAGGAGTTATGTCGTCTCAGTCCATTCTGAACGCATCATGAAGCAGCAGCATGATAAACTTTTTTTTAAATGTATTTCAATGTTGCCGTTATCTCCACTCGGGTGATTTCATAACTGCACGGCAATGAGCCAGCAGTACACTAAGACGAATCAAAAAACACCTCAGTGGTAAAGTGTAGTGCTGAGAAAGCGGAGACAATGGGTTAAGCCTTGCATATAGAATAGGATCTAGATGCTGGTGACAAAAGAATGGTCGAGGAAGTCCTCTATTCAGGCTCTGTCCATGTAATGTGATTAAAAGGTGCTTTGTGCAAATGGCAGTTATTCAGGGTTTGAAAGACAAAATAAGCTCGCGCCTCTTAAAGAAAAGGTAACGCACGGCCTATTCATCTCCACTGAAACCAAAGCAAAGTTACTTTCCTAGCAGGAGCCTTAAACAGCAGGAAAAGAAAGAGAAAATGGATGGGGCCGAATCAGCCCTGAGGAGGGGAAGATTAATACAATCAGGAATGTGACCTCTCCAACAACTCACTCTCCGCATCCCCTCTCCCCCTCAGAGATGGATCCGCGCTGTGGACCGGGGATTGCTGATGAGAGAACTTGTAAATACATAATTAGGGTTCAATAGTTTGGAGTGCCAGATCTCTGTTTAACTGGGAGTGTGTCGTCATTGAGAGGTTGGAGATGACACTTGGGGGAATGGTGTTTGATGCGGCGTGTCAGGGTTTAACTACAGGACCTTTGACAGGGGGTAAGGTGTCAAGGAAGTTTGAGTTAAAGGTCAATGGAAAATGACATCTCAGAACTCATTATCCTCACTAATGCCAGGCGAAGCACCGCCATTTCAGAAAAATGATATTCTAAAGAGACCTAGCACCGGCTTTTCAGCTCCCTACATACCTGCCCTTGACTCACTAATACAGGAGCATCACTTCAGCAGTCTAAAAGGTGGAATATCTAAATGGTCGATGGGAAAATTACAAAGTTGATGAGGAAAAAAAAGGAGATTTTGAAAAGAGAGAGGAAAAGCTGGCCAAAAGCAATGATGTGTCACATTTCCTGTTAGTGGGAGAGATGGTTAACAGCTTACAGTACATCAAGATGAAATATCCTCCATTTTGATATCAATTCAATGAAAATTGGTCGAAATAAATTGCCACTATTGAAAACTGGTTGGACTTGTACCCAATTCATTCAAACCTTTACACCTGCCATAAGGTCTGGTGTTAGCTGGCTAAGAATAGCTGGCAGGTGAACAGGTAATGAGGCTTCAACAAGCAGAGACTGACATTTTCTTGTAAAAAAAAAAAATGGAAATGTTAAGAAAAAGTAATCATGGCGAATACTTTTAAAAAGCAAAACCACAATATAAATATAATTTTTTAGCAGTAAAAGGGATGTATCAAAAGGAATGTTAACAAAAAAGCAAAATATGATTTAAAAAAATGTCAATACTAAAAATAGGTGTCCATGTAATACTGTTTATATACCTCTAAAGTGTGGTCAATATTGATAATACTGTTCATAGTGTTTAAACTTTATACCCATTAATATATTCATATACTTTATATCTGTCATACATTATACCTATCCATTAAACTGCACCTTACTGCTTCTTTTGCACTTCTGATTAGATGCTAACTAATCTTTCCATTTGAACTCTCGCGGAGTATGAAGTACAATGTAAATACAAATTACTTCCCCATTGTATTTAAGTATAATGTTTGATTAAATGTTTTGTTATCTCCACCAATGACTGTGGCGTTTATAAAAAAAGCAAATCAAATTATGAAGATCCTGGCCACAATGTTTTCAGTGATCTTAAAACACGGCGGTTTACCTCTAAGCAGTAAAAAACCGACACTACAAAGTACTTTACTGGTTTTTCATGCAGAGGGACTTGTTGGGAATAGGCGGGCAGCAACAGAAGCGTGTCATGATCCGTATCTTTCCAACAGATGCTTGAAACTGCACTGTAAACACTGACATTCAAACTCCAAAGTTGCCCTTTTAAGCCTGTCCATAAATGAGTTTCCTCTGTAGTTCGTGCCCTTCTGTCAAGTGTGTGTAGGTGTATGGTGGCGCATGTGTCAGCGTGGCTCACCGATGGTGCAATGTTCACCCGTCCAGCCCTGATGGCAGTCACACTTGCCCTCTCGGCAGACTCCGTGGTCGATGCAGCGTGGGTGACAGTCCCTCTGCTCACACTCTGGTCCTGTCCAGCCCTCCTCGCAGTGACACACACCGCTGATGCACAGGCCGTGAGGACCACAGTCCACCACACACACCTCTGTCGCAAAAGAAAAAAGCCACAGTCATGTCGCTTCTGTTCTGTGAAGGAGACCTTTTTTTATTTTCTGCTGGTGTGTTTTAGTATTCTGTGGAGATGAATCTGCCAAGACTGAAAACTTCTCTGATGACAAGCAACGTTTTTACTGTAAACAAGAGACATTTTTAACGCTCTACTTGAAATATGTGTTATAGAAAGTCCTGAAATTGTGAAGGCAAATATATACGTATATCATATATATATATTCAAAAAAGAAAGCTGTATTGATAATAGATCATCTGAAGAGGCTTAATGACTGCAATCTATACATTTGTATTTTAAAAATAATTATTTTATATAATGCAAAATGTTAATACTTCCTCCTGATTTATCATCTCAATTTACTTTAAAATGTGTGTAACTAGTCAGAGAATTTAAACTGAATACCCAATGAACTCCTACGTGGCTGCTACTTTGCCGAACTACATAATAAATAGATGAGAAAGATAAAAAGAAAGAAAGAAGAAGATAAATCCTACTTGAAAAAAAAACTGTGAAATTAATCTTGAGTTATTACTTTTATGGATTCCGGCTATAATAAAATCCCTCCAATTCTCCCAAAAACGTTCTCTACAATACAGTACAGAAACACAGTACCCTCAGCTTGCATTAAAGTAATTTAAACGTAATGAGTGCACTTTGAAAAGATGAAACTTTAAACAGAAGAGCAAAAAGAAACAGGTGTGTGGGCGTGTGTCCAATATGACGACAGATGGATGACATCTGATTCAGTTTGCTTATTTAAAAATATCAGCAACAAGCTCTCAACTTTAATAAACTTATCAACAAATGGGTAAAATCAGTGCAACAACAACTTTTCACCCAAATGAAATGAAAGCTTGTCACAACATATTTCAGTGTTGCTTGAGAAAAATAAATTCATTTATTTTTCAAGCCCATGAAAGAGCAACACAGGTTATAATAGTCATTGTTATTCCTGTAGCCACTCTTTTTAAAATATTCCACCAATTCTTTCTCTCTGCAGTGCACAAAAAACCTCCCTCATCGCTCCAAAAAGTCAGAGCAAAAATACAGTAAAGCACAGCATTACTTTGTGCTTCTAGACACTTCCAAAACAACCACTTTTCAGGTTTTTACATATTCTGGTAGCTCATTTGCATGTTGTCTTGGCAGCCCGAGGCGAGGGTTATGGATTTAAGCAGAATCTTATGTCTGGACTCTGAGAGATGTTAGATCAACATGATTTCTTTAAGTTGGAGCATCGGAAACAGCAGAGCATCTGTTATGAATCTGTGTTATCTTCAGAGAAGTAGAATTCAAATGATCGAATCCACGGGTGGCAAGTAAATCAGTCCGCACTCGGCTAAAGCTAACGCTCAACAAGCTGTGGCTGCTCTTGTGAGAGAATAAGAAATGTTCATTTACTGGAACGAAGAGCTTCTATCAAAGCTTTTGAGCAGGAGAGCTTTCCGGCGTGACAACCGTGTGCTGGAGGAAAGTAGCTCAAGTGTGTCCTCACAGAGACTAGATTCTTCAGGATATTTAAATATACCCATAACCAAACAGTTTGTGACTTTTAAAGAAAACTGCTTGCAGGTAAAGCAAATAAGCCAAGAGGCATAATTCTGCAGTCCAAAATGTTACAAGCCATGGATAAAACATCCATTTTTAAAGCTAATTTACCCCCTCTGCTTTACCCACACAGGCCCTTTAGTGAAGCTCTTTAAGCAGTCAGTTTCCAGCTCTCTGAATGGAGTTTTTCTTCGATTGAGAGACCTTGGATGGTTCTGATTAAGTCAAGCCGACACTGTAGAATATTAAGCACGCCTCTGGAGGGGAGTCATTTGATTCCAAAGGGATACCTCCTTCCCATAGAATCTATGCAATCAATTTTTCATTAGTCCAAAAGTGTTTATCTGCCTTTAACATGCCCCTGACTCGAGCTGGATAGGGGTTGTGGGCGGTCGATTCATGCTACTCGCTTGTTAATTAAAGTGTATTTAATTGAAGAAGCACCGCAGCATTAATTAAGAAGGAATTCTCCTCCCACCCAGGTGGGTAAAAGCATGGCTTTTTGGACCGCACCAGTTCAGTCACTTCTTGTATTGACAAGCCAGAGACATCTTGCTGAGTGAAAGGGTTGTGTGTGGAATGTTTTAATCTTCAAACAGAATAACAAACGACTTCTCTTTAAAAAAGAGAATAAAGCAAGACTCCAAAAGAAAAGAAAAAAAATCCCTGTTCACCAAAACAATCATTCTTTCTTCTTGGGCACCGACCAAAGAGGCTGCATGCTGCGTCAAAAGGGCTGCACACACATCTATCATCTCAAACACACCACCCAGCCTCCTTATGAATTCATTTGCAATTGAATTTCAGCCAGAATAAATACATTCTGCTTTTAATTGTTTGACTCGCCGTGGCCATTGTGTGTCTCTCTCTGGGTTGAGCGCACAGAGGGTAAGTCTATTCTGATGGAGGAAACAGCACATAAATCACCTGAGGCCCACGCGCAGATAACAGATAGGAGGGGCCAGCCTAAGTAACATGTCACCTTGTGTGTCGAAAGCCAAACACTCTGAATACCGAGCTGATAACAAATGAAGAAGCTCTGCCGCGAGCAGATGGGAATATACGATAGTCTCATCTATTCTAAAAAACCTGAAGCTGCTATAAAACACACTGGCAAAAGTTCTGAACAAATCTATAAGTCTTTTCTGTAACAACACACATTTGTGCTGAATTTCAAGCAGAACATATGCTGGGTCTCACAAAAGAAACGTGTGGAAACAAAGCTTTGTTGTCAGCATATGCTCTGTTTCAAAACCAACACGTGCTCCAAGTGTTGATTACCAAACTATAAAGGTGTGATCTCAACCACAGATTTATTTAGCCCAAAACATAATTAAGTTGATTTATTCAGGTTCAAACTTCCAGTCGATCAACAACTTTAACGATTTGCACATTGCTTGATAATAAATATCAGTTATTATGTTTCATGATTTATGCAGAATACCTGTTTACCAGTGTTACATAAAGCACTGTAAATATTGAATTTCTTTTATTCAACACTTTCCAAGCATGAGTGACTTCTGGCTATCACAATTCAGTCTCCTCATACCCATGAAAGACTTGAATATGGGTTTGTTATCTGTAGTAAATGCAGGTTATTTTCAAACTCCTGCTTGGAGAACAACAGAGATGTTGGAGGCATTTCAGGGTGTTTGTGCAAAACACATTTGAAGTTGTTGCTTTCACAGGATTCATCAATTTATTGAAGCTTTTAGTAATTAGAGAAAATGTTCACAGTACACTTCCTTTCATTTCGCCCCATCACACCAAAGTTAAACTTTATTGAAGGTGATATAGGAGAGATGTACCCAGAGCTCATAAAACACAGCACTGACAGTACTGTAGCATGTGTGCATACATCATGAGGCTCCCATTCATCATCTTTGGAGCCAACCACGACTGTTCAATTCATAATGTTGTTTCCTGCATGTGTACCTACAGTACGAGGGGGAAGCTGAAGCATACTGATTTGACTGTATTTAATTTAAAGAGTTTCATTTCAAAAGGTGACATATTCATTTGGAGAAATAAATTGCTCTCTGATGTTCACTAAATCATATTTCAAATGCAAAAATGATTAATTAACTAAAAAAACATTCAAGATTAAAACATAAATCACATTTTCCCCCTCATATTTACAGATTTTTAGATTCCAAAGCTGATTAATTATACCCAAAGCGTTAAATAGTGCACCCACAATGTACTGTATGAGCTAGATATTTAATTTAACCTACTGCTTTTTTAATAAAGGCTTACAAAGTACATCTGCTGTTGTGGACGCATGGTGTCTGCAGCGGCTGTGCTCAGCAAGGTTTATTTACACAAAGAATTTGGTGCCAATTAATTGTTAGAGAAACAGTAAAAAAAAGCCACTACAGCGTTAAAAAAAGGCTGCACTGTTTGCAAAGATTTGTAAGTACTGCTCTAATGGTATCAATAACTGAATGAATGGATACAATTCAAGTAGATTAATATGCCATTTCATTCTTTTGAAGCCATTGTGTAGACTTTGACTTCAAAAGAAAATGTTCACAAAAAGGCAGAGATTGTCATTGACATTTTTTTCAAGAACTAAAGCCGTACTAAAAAACACATGAAAACTGGTGTTGATTAATCAATTAGTCAATCGAAATAAAATTAAACAGTTTGAATTTGATAAAGGATTAATCATTTGAGTATTTTCTAAATGTAAAAGCGAAAATGTATCTAGATTGTTACATTTATATTTGAGCTTGAGGAAAAAACATATTTTAAAGATGTCAGCTCGGGCTTTAGGAAAGTGTACCTGGCCTTTTTCACAAACTGACATTTCATAGTGCCAATTATTAACAAGTTAAATGAGTGGCTAATAATGGATTAATCATTTGAGCATTTTATTTTAGTCATCTTGGTGGTTGCTTCTCTTTCTCATATATGATTGTTAATTACTCTGACAAGCTATCAAGATGTTAACTTGTGGTTTAGAAGTGTCATGGGCGTTTTAACACTACTTTGACACAAAATAGAGCCCGAAACTGTTGTTGCTTAATCAATTAATCATTTGATTATTTGCTGTAATTAAAAAGGAAAATATGATCTAGTTTGTGTCTTGTCTTTATCTCATTTAAGTGCCAAATTTATATATTTGAGTTTGGAACAAGATGTCAACTCTGGCTATGGGCATTTCCTCACTATTTTGACATTTAATAGGGCCGAATATGAATTAGGGAAATTAATTGCAGATTGATCAATAATGAAAACAATCTTTAGTTGCGCACTCACAGTAAGACACATTAAAATACAACACCAAATAGCTTTAGGTGACGAAATGCATTACATTAATGCACACAATGTACAACAATATGTTGTATTACTGACGATTTGTATTCCATATTTTATTCCTTCTTATTCCATTCCATTGCAATGTAAATACTGTTATATTTGACTATATTTTTTATTATTTTAAATATTTTTCTAGTTCTCTACCTGTTTTTTTAATTCTTGTTTTTATGCACCACGACACCAAGTCAAATTCCTGGTACATGTAAACCTACCTGGTAATAAACCTGTTTCTGATTCTGATTCTGAAATGAAGTGCAATGTTTTCTGACCTATTGAGCAGTCGGCCCCCGTCCAGTTGGCCTTGCAGACGCAGGTCCCCGACTCGGTGTTGAAGGTGCCGTGACTGGAGCACTGCTCTGGACAAGTGCTCTTCAGGATCTCACAGCTGATGCCACCCCACCCCGGGTTACAGTGGCACTCACTGTGATGACAGGCTCCGTGACCGGAACATATCGGGTCCACACAGTCAACTGAGTGCCGTGGAGAGGACAGACATTTTTTTAGTTTACCACTTCCAGAAAGGATATCAAACCTACTTATTTACCCCGGCCAATTTCACTCTGCTACAAGCCAACATCATTTTTGTCAGAGTGGAAGTGCTCCAGTGCCAGATGACGTCTGTTAAGCCACAGCTGAACATGCTGCTGTGTTTAGTTGTGGCTGGTTTCGTTTTTCCACCCTATGTTCTACTATCTCTTCTATATTATAGGGTACTTCCAATATACTGACAGCATAATTATGCTCCATTATAGGCCCTAGGAGAAGGGGCACAATTAGCGTCTAGACCGATGTAATCAATTACTATTAACAATTTGCAGATCAACTCGATGATCTAAGTTAATAATTGGCAATTATGACCAACATAATCAACCCATAGGGATAATTTACAACAGCAACATTGTGCTTCCTCTGGAGCTGATTTCTCTGTGGATTTCAACACCTCCTTGGACACTGGTATTGATTATTTACCTTAACCAATTCATCACACCGGAGCCATTAAAAGCAAGCCTGGAAGTACAAATGCCACAATCTCCCATCTATGTTTCCTTCCCATAATGCTTCACTTCAAAGAAAAACACAATATACTCATTTAGTTCACTCAATAGCTTTTTACGTGCAAGGTCAATGAGGCGCACATGTAAATCTGAGCAGATAATTGTCTTTTGTTTGCATGGGGATCAATAAAGTTAAATGCACCGAAGGGAAGGGGGAGGTTGAAAAGGTTGACAAGAAAGAAGACAAAGCTCTCTCTCAATAAACGGGGGGAACAGATGCTATTGAATGATTGATTTCTACAGGTGCCTTCATCTGAGGAGCATTCCAATAGGTGACTGCATCAATGGGCCCTTCACAATCTGTTCCAGCTGGTAACCTCACGCGGTCTAAAAACTAAGCGGGAGTTAATTTATACACACGGTATCAATAACAACATCCCAAGCATTATCTGCTCAGTGGAGTTGAACACACTCGATTGTTTCACCAATGGACTGTGTCAATTCCCCCTGAGCTTCCCACAGAAAATTGTTGCTGCTTCCCATCCAAAGAGAAAAGGATTTCTTTCCCCATTTACCTTGTTCACAGTTGGGTCCTTTGTGGCCGCTGTTGCACACACAGTTGCCCGACACACACAATCCGTGTCCCCCGCATTGAGGATCGATACACTGGGAGGCAGGAACGTCACACTCAGTGCCTTTCCACCCGCTGTAGCACTGGCAGCGCCCCCTGGTGTACTGACCGTTACCGCTGCACAGCACCGGACAGGCGGCTGGGGAAACAAAGGAATTCATCTCATGCATTGTGGTATATTAGATTAGATTCCTTTATTGTACAGCGAAATTCCAAGCATTCCCGATGGTGCAATCACACATAACAGACAGTATAAGTATCATTTTGACAATACAAGCTTAAACTTTTAATATATAATATATAAAGTGACTATAAATTGGACCTATGATACATTGAACAGTATACGCTTACAAAACAATACAACATTACCATACAAATACAAGAACAATACGTTCAAGGCAGTACAACATTTAAACAAGTCAATAAGTAAGTTATTGCACATGTATTTATCAGTGCAGTTGATTATTACAAAACTAGAAATAAATATGTGTTCTATAAAAAACCGTATGAGGTTCATAAGGTGCAGTTGGATGTAATCATGTACTTAAGTTCAGTTCATATAAATGGTGCTACTAATACTTTTTCCAAGGTTAAGTACTTATTTGTCTTTATTTGTATAGGCTATCTAATGTGTACTTTTGTTATATATTTAATAATAGCTACTTTATTTTTTTCTAAGAGTCAGGATGGTAATAATGAAGCAGGAGCCAGATGTTTAGCAAAAACATTTGAAATAAGGAGAATCAGCGCTTGCCTGGCTTCATCCAAAGGAAACTAAATCTGCCTCACAGCACCTGTAAAGCTCGCTTATTGACTTATTATATTTATGTGTTTGACTATTTCTTGTATGGGACCAGTTGCTAGGCAACCAGCAGAAACCCAGGAAGTTACTGGTCACATATCACACATAACAGCTACATACAAGGCGCAAGAAATGGTAAGATCTTCTCATAAAACTGTGGCAAAGAAAGTCAAAAGGTGATCCAATTATCGATGAACTCAGACACGTACACATGAAGAAGGCTTTCTATTGCCAGATTTTGACATATCTTTCTCTGAGATTTGGGGGCGTATGTCAAATAGAGTGGATTTGAAGGGAATCTTTTCGTGTTCAGTAGATACAAAAAAAATGAGTTTTAATAATTTTCATAGGGAGCATGTTTTTTTGTGTAGTTGTCAATGTAAAAAGCCTGTTACAGTATGTGGATTAGGTGGAGTAACAGACAAATGCTCAGCTGATGCTGGATTTTTAAAAGCCGATTAGAGCATTTTACAAATAACCTTGTCAGTGCTATTGTGGAGACAAATTACGTAATGGAGAGAGTGTTTCTTAATGATCTCAAACATATCTATGACATGTCTTTACTGACGTTTATTGTAACATACCCACTGATATATATGCCAATATCATACAGCTGCTCAGGTAATATTAGTCAATATATCGATCTCGCTGCACCATGTGAGACTCCACATGCGGTGCTTTTGCCTCTGATCGCTTTGAGCTCAACAAACAATTTTCCACATTATGTTATGAAGGTGGGCAAATACAACCAAAGCAATCTACACAAAGAAAATCTATATTTTCTTAACTCAGGGGAAACTGACCCTTTGAATAATGGGCCGGGTGGACAGAGTAAGAAAAATATATGAGATAATTATTACCTCTGGAACAGTACGGCCCAATGAATCCTGGGAAGCAGTGGCATGATCCCGCCACACACTCTCCGTTCCCGTAGCAGTTGTGTGTGCACTCCGTGACAGATTCTGTGGGCGAGAAAGTCCAACTATTAATAACTCACCGGATTTTCGAATTATAGCAAATCTCAAATTCCTGCTTAAATAACATTTGACAACTGAAACTGTTCAAGAATACTGCGAGACGACCGAGATACTAACGTTTTTTTTTTTTTCTTTATCCCCTGCATGCATCTAGGCTTTTTAAGCATCCCTTATCTGCGGTAGCTGTATCGGGCATGGCATACATTTACAGCTATTTGTCCATGTCCCACTAAGGTCTAAGCCTCCATAACATGCACGCTGCAGGCTGGCTCTTCCCATCCAAGCCATGTTGAGTAAAAGCCACACATACATTTTAAATTAGACCAAATAATTCCATTTCCTTGACACATTTTGTTTCCTCTACCGCCTCTTCCTCGCCCCTCAACCCCTTGAATGACTGATTCAAGGGACTGAGGCAATCTCCTGAGTGTTTACAGCTCAAATCCTCTCTGAGTTGAAGTTAATCTGACATATCCTACAGACAGATCTTGTGTTCATTCAACAGACCATCGCTCATGAACGGCACCCCCATAAGACCGTGGCCCTCATTTTGATCGGCGTTAAGAGGGCAAACTTTTTTGTTATTGCACTGTCTTGTATTGAATGTTCATTGAGCCAGCGTTGGACCCAGGCAATTTTGACCTCACACATCGATACTTTCATATTTGTAGGGTTGGATCAATGGAAAACTCCCCAAAGGAAATAGAAAAACGTTAACTCAACCTTAGTGGTTTCTCCTACCTCAAAACCCACAAGGAAATTTCACAGACTCCAGAACGCTGAAGAGGTTGTTACGAAGAAAGAATCAATGCAGTGTAGTGTCTCGTATTGTGGTGTTGAGCACAATAATCCACTACCCTCCAATGGAAACTTAGATCTGCCTCTTAGGTGGCTCAAAGTTTTAAGAGCTCAGCTTGTTTGAGTGGAAGCCAACATTTCCACCAACCTAACTGTTTGTTAATTCACGCGCAGCTGTTAAAGGAAATTAAAGTCTTCCAAACATGTCATTACACATCATTCCAATCACTCTCATCAGCCATCGCAGCAGATGTGTGTCCTCTTACCCTGAATGATGGTGTTATAGGACACTGTCTCCGCGTTTCTTCCGTCATTATAAAACGCCAGGTGCCACACCCCTGAGTCCAGGTACTGGATGAAGCCGGCTTGGTGCACGCTGACCGGGTGATCCTGCCGTCCCCTCGTCTCCGGTTCACTTTGAGTCCAATGTTCTTTGGCGATAAGCCGGCTGCCGTCCAACAGCTCCACAAAGTCATACTGCAAAACAACACCAGGAACAGATTACGACAGATGCAGATGATTGTTATTTTAATGTTGGTCTAATTAAATCAGGCAGTAAAACACGCCAGAAAGTTCAAAAAGTTGATGCTTTCTTCTGTTGGATGCTTTGTATGCGGCTCCTCTGGTGATTTCCCTAACTGTCAGAGAAGAATACTTCAAAGTGGTTATGCAAAACACAACAAAATGAACAGGTCTGTGTACCCAGCAAATATTTCAGTATAATAAATGTTGATTTTCAGTCACATTTATTTGTAGTTGATAGATGTTGTTTGGAGAGTTGTTTGTCTATTGATAGAGCTGATATGGCTCTGGGGCTAAGGCTAAAAAATATTCCAAAAATATGTCGTACATTCTGACAGGAGTGCACTTTAACAGAGTCTGGCAATGTGTTTATTATAATTTGTTAAATTAACGCAGATAATGCACTGTGTGGATGCATATACTTAGGAATTCAGAGTCATTCACTGCCAGTGTGTGCACAAAATACAAAGAAAAGGGAAAAGTGAAAAGTGAAAAGCTTTCTTCAATGACAGCTATATGCAATTATTTTTCTCTGTTTTTAATTCAACTTAATACCACATTGCTACTAATGTTTTAATTGGTTTATTGTTTGTTTCTAATACTGAATGTTCCCAGTACTCTCTCAAACAGCGGATGAATACATCATATCTTGAATAAGTTTAAAGCACATTTTTCTACAGTAGCAAACACAGTATACGAAACAACAAATAGAACATAGTATATACCCCAGGCCTTTTTCTTCCTACTGTATGTTTTGTGAAAGCAGCATAGCAGTCTCTCTGTATTTCTTTCAAGCAAACATTGATTTACGGGGTAAACAAGGAGTAACGAGTCATTCCTGCCAAGTGAAACGAGTAAAGCGACGCATCTGCTCTCACTGCACCTGCTCAACACCTGAACCTCTTCTTGACGGAGGCTGTATGGTGGAGAGCACTGCAGCAGAAAACTGAGTAACAAACCAGCAATCCCCAAACAGTCTATAGGCTGCAGAAAGCACAGCAGATGTAGACAGATCCCATGGCTAAAGCTGTTGTTAGCTACACAGATGCACTGAGCCTATAGTGAACGCTCAGGGTGGAAGAGAGACTATGGGCTGATAGAAGTCTGATGCACTGAAGCTAGTTCAAAGATGGATTTAAACACAATGATGAGGTCATTTGAGAGATCTGGTGAACTGCCAAGCTATTGATTTTTGCCTGAAAATGATTTTGTTTGTGTTTCAGACTTGTCCGCTCAATAATAAGTAATATATCACTTACATTTAAAATACATTTTTAAAGTAAGTAATGAGTTCAGTCACAACAATTGTCAAGAGAGAAAGGTAAATATATCTGATTCGGCAGCAAGAGGTCCGACTTAAAAATCATTAAAATAAATTGTTTTAGACATTATTTATTTATGTTTCCTTATAAAAAAAAAACGTCATAATACTGCCAATAACAATTCAACATATGTGTTTTAAAGCAGCATTAAAGCTAGGTTAGGTTATTTACTCATGGGAAATAATTCCATTGTAGCCTTTCAGCATATTGTAATTTAAATGGTCTGGACAAAAAACAGACTTCTGCTCGGTTTTTAGTTTAAGTAAATGTAGCCCAAGACGTTGACCAATCACAGATCATTTGGAGGAGAGAACCGTCCTATTGGCTGCTCTAGAAATGCAGATGCCTGTTCTTGTCCCGTTAGATGCTGCATGAAGCGCATATGCTCGTCTGGTGGGAGGTGCTCAAAACAGAGCGGGGAGGGAGGAGAGCTGCAGTATGAGGGCTGTATCTTTGTATTCTGGCTTTTTTTTGCCTTTTACTAAAAAACTGCATACCCTGGGAGACCACTTGAATTACAATTATGCTGAAAGGTTATTATAGAATGAAAAATAAAGTGCCTCCTCCAGCTTTTTTTTCAATAGTTTTTAATAGCAGCATTCCATCATAGCAACACTGCATGTTTATGATATTACCCCAAACCCGATTTAAACCTTAATCGGCACCTCTATTGAGCTTTTTTGGCCTCTTTCACTTCACTGCATTAGCTGCATGCTCCACAATAAAATCAAAGCCCCTCATCAACAAACCCATTTCCAAAAGCAGCAAAATAGCTGTTTTCAGCAACAACAACAAAAACAACGATATTCTCACCGCTTAAGAGGCAGATCATTTTTTCTCAAGTGTTGTTGGAGACAAAACCCAAGCTAAAAGATGTTGCACTTAAATGTATCAAGTGGCCAGAAACACAAGTCCAATTGGATCCTGGTGTTGCTCTATTTCTGTTTGATGTGTAACGAGGCAACTTTTGACACACACTTTAGGCTTAAGGACTTTATAAACTGGGAGTAAATCAGTGTTTTGCATCTGCCATCTTGTTATGAAGTTCTTCTCTGCCTAGTGGGCAATAATGAATCACTATGTGCACGACATCCAGCCTCGTTGAAACACAATGGGCTTTAAAGGAGTTAAAAGAAAGGAAATATATTAAAACAGGATTTAAAGCTCAGAAACGGGACAAACATGGACCCGAGCAACTTTGCAGTTGACTTGAAAAAGACAGGAAAGAGAGCATAAAGCGAGGGGCAGGTGAAGTCAACCCTGTGATTTAAACCCCTTTGAGTGGAGCAGAGGGGCAGGGGGAGGATATTAACCTGGCGGAAGTTGACTTCTTTGTGTTGTCGGCTTGAGGGGGAAGTAATAAAACTGTTCATCCCACGAAACCTAAACCTCCTGGCGAAGTGCATACATCTCGATTAGCCGCAGTGAAAGCCCCCCCCCAACTCATCTCAATCCAACAATGCAGTGAATAACAGGCGAGAGGCCGGGCGTGAAGAGACTGCAGCATGCCCCGTAGACAGAGCCCAGAGCCTGCAAATACTTCAGCCTTTAGATTGAGTGAACTTAGTTTGGCACTTGGAAACAACTGAGGGCAATCTCTTAAGAAACAAACTACAAAAGTTATTTTCTTCTAACTTGTTTGGTTTGTATCAGCACGGACAAACACTCAATAGCAGAGAGAGGAAGTCTATGTTTGAGAAAGGTGGAAAGCCTGTTGCACTTAAATGTCGTCTTGTCTTCCGAGCTGTGAATACAACGAACAGTCAATATCTCTCATTGGTGTCTTTCATGCTCAGTTAAGTAAATGCATTGATTTGTGCCCCTGGTCCCTGAACAGTATGTAATTTAGAGGCGGCCACAATGGACACAGTGTCGAGAATTGACAAGCTTGAGTGTCTGGGCAACAATTGCCGGAGACATAAAAGCAGTGTCTTGTTAATTAGTACCCTTTGGACTTTCATTTTGTTGGGGCTCCTTTTTTCACCTTGAAAGTGCAATCCGGATCACCTGTTGTCCCTTACATCTCAGTTTCGACCGTCAGAGAGTGGCCCTACACTTGAGTGAAGCCCGTCTTTACGAGCAGAGAATGTCAAGAAGGTTAGGCTAAGAGCTTTTGCAGTCAAGTGTGCTGGCCATTGTCTGAGTGCCTCCATCACCATGATCACACATCGGACATTCAAAATGCCGGAAATGTCATTCAAGTGACACATGAGACATTTTCTGAAACACTTCAATTTGCAAATTCCCGACGTTTAGTGGAAATGAAAGATGTGCATGTCCACCCTGGCAAACTGAAATAAGCTAATACCTCGCTGTAATGTGCAAAGGCATACAGTGATGTCAGGAATTCAAATTAAAGGACATCATAAGAGCAGATAGAACACCCTATTAATTAATACAGTATTCATATACATTGTTTGATACAGTTTAATTTTCAGGCTTTGTTAAGACGTAGTGAAATGGCCTCTTTACATCCTCAAAGCTGCTTTAATCAATTTATTTTATTAAAGACTGATTACATGGCTATGTGTAATGTGAAAGGAGTAAGAGCGGTGATTAACACACAGAGAAATATTGCTAATATTATAATTAAAGCCATGGAACTGGTCCAGTAATGTCAGCAATAGTTAGCCAAGTTTTTTTTAGAAGCTGCAAAGCCCCTGAGACCAGAGCCCAGTCTGCTCTGATTGGTTAGTTGGCAATCCCTGTTGTGATTAGTCAACCTCTTAGAGATGTCCCGCCCCTAAGTCCATCATGTATAAGGTGTTGGAGCACTAGCCAATAGATGCGTGAGTGTTACAAAGAGATGTCACTATTGGATTGTATCCTTTGCAGACCATTTACATGCACACACACATATATAACACGCTACAGGAAAGGGAAAACCTCAAAAAGCTAAATTGGGCCCCTTTCATAAACAAAGATAAAACTGACGTAATTGTTTTTTTGGAGCCAAGGAGGAACGAATAAAAGTCAGCGCTGAGCTTCAGTCTGCAATGTTCAAAACAACAGACAAAGCCAGAAATCTAGGTGTAGTCATGGACTCTGACCTGAGTTTCAACAGTCACTTTAAAACAATTACTAAATCAGCCTACTATCACCTAAAGAACATATCGAGGATTAAAAGACTAATGTCACAGCAGGATTTGGAAACACTTGTCCATGCTTTTATCTTCAGTAGACTGGACTACTGTAATGGTGCCTTCACAGGTCTCACTAAAAGATCTATTAGAAAGCTGCAGCTGATTCAGAACGCCGCTGCTCGAGTCCTCACTGACACTAAGAAAGTGGATCACATCACTCCTGTTCTGAAGTCCTTACACTGGCTTCCTGTCTGTCAAAGAATTGATTTCAAAAGACTGCTGCTGGTTTATAAAGCTTTGAATGGTTTAGGCCCAAATTACATCAGGCAGAACTAAACATGGAGAAGTTCTGTTATTATGCTCCAAATATCTGGAACAAACTCCCAGAATCCTGCAGATCCGCTGCAACTCTGACTACTTTTAAATCCAGGCTGAAGTATTTTCTTTTAGCCGCCGCATTTAATTGAACTATTCATTTCTCACACTGCACTGTAACTTTTATTCATGTGCCCGTGTTATTCATGTTTTTAAAATGCCATTTTATAATATGTTTCTGCTGCACTATTTCTTAATTATTCATTTTTGTAAAGCACTTTGAATTGCCTTGTGTTGAAAGGTGCTATATAAATAAACTTGCCTTGCCATTTAAATGTTACTTTTTAATTACAAGAGATATGTCGTTTTTCTTTGAAGAGTAACAAAGTTTGATTCAAAGCGTCACAAGGTGTCAGCTTCATAGCATCTTTAATCTACAGGAGATATACCTGATTTAAAAACATTAATAAAAAGGCTTTACCTGAGTGTGAGAGGGTGTGAGACCTTTCCGTCCATAGACTCCTATCAGTGCGTTCTTCTGTACCGAGATGTTGAACTTCAGGAAGCGTGGGAGCTCCATGCTGAGATGAGAACGCCAGAACACCCCCGGTGGGATGCTCTGACCCGCCTTCTTCCCTATGTCCACCTGTCCCGTATCAATGGAGTTGTTCTCCTGATTCAGCACGTTAGTCCTTCCTAGAAGACAGACACACACCCACACTCGGATTATATAAGGTGTTGCAAAATCCAAAAAACAGCACTGTTATGGCTATATTGTATAAATCAGTCATCACAGAGCCTTTCATGCCATCAGTTAAAACCTCCGCTTTCATCTACAAATCTAACATTGGTCTTTCATATTTGGATATCAGTAATTGCTGCATTCAATCTTTTGCTTACCAGTGCAATCTTATTCTTTTTATCCAAGCAGGGACTTTACACTAAGACAGTCATATATTTTCCAAATGAGCAGTGACCAAGAAAGAGAGGATTAAAAGTAATGGATCCCTGTGGTCCATGATGCACTGCTCACTGAAAAAAAAATGACCAGATATAATTGGCCATTTATTAGACTCTAACAGGCCGCATTTCACGTCTTCTCTCTGGTCCTGATGACTCAGAGAGCACCGCCTCATCTTAGATAAGGTCTTAATGGAAACTGTCAGATATACTGAGCGCTACCTTCCCAGAGCAATAACAGCAAATCAAAACTATTTAGTGAATTATACCCTTAAACTGTGTCCTTACAGCGCAAACGATGGAGGGATGGCCAGTTTGAATATGACTCATGCTCAAATGAAAAATTGTAGTCTGCAAGGTGTAATTACCAGAACAAATGTCATTGTTAGGATGAAAAATATTTCAAATGTTTTAAAGTCCTTGCCGTTTGAAGCTATATCGTGGAAGGAATACAGCTGTGCTTTTTATAACATACTGTGGCATAGACTTATAACTGGTTAGCTGGATGATGCAGAGATGTCCTGACATAATAACATCTCAACCTTTGTCCTTGCTTCTCATACGAAGTGCTTCAGTGTGAGGACCTGTGTATACAGTGACTTTATCCGTTCGTGCCAGACCTCCGTTATTTGCATGCCGGGGTGTGTGTAATGAGGCCATTGGCTGTCACTTTAGTTCCATTCAAAGTGAAGACTGGTAGCCAAGTTTACCTCAGGGGAGAATAATAGTCTGCTATTGATTGCCTTTAAACAGTCCAAAACCTGCCTCGTGCTATCTTAATTAGCAGTACTTATGAGGATTTAAATCTAGCCGAGTTTAAACAATTGAGCTTTTGCCTGGCCTACTCAACTCAATTAATGCTGTCGTGGCTGTGCATTCTAAATACAGCAATGTGGTCAGAGATTAATTTGGTGGCTTTTGCTGTAAAGGTGAGTTGGGATGGCCTGGCTGCGTGTTGTTGAATACACAATGGTCCAAGATTATGATTAGGTAGTGCAAAGCTGTCTGGAATCAGTCAATTCATATTCAGAAGGTGAAAGATCTCAGTAAACTGTAAAGGCTGACTTGGCATCGAGCACCAAATCATTCATGAGGCCAAATGGTTTGCTGGTGCAATTTGTCTTTCTTAATCGTCATTTGAACCTTTTCTTGATTTAATTAATTAGTATTCTTTAACCTTTTTTTTTTAGGTATCAGCATTTCATTAAAAAAAGCATTAATTACACAAAACCTCATCTACTTCAACTGAAGTTGAGATTATTCGTACATTTAAAGTGTTAGTGCTAATGAGCTAGGCAACCGGTTCATACACCTTGCTTTTGCCAAGCCATTCATTATTTCTTTTATACAAAATGTTTTCTGAATATTAAAACTTAACCCCAAAAACCCCAACATATCTTGAAAAAGCAAAGCCAACATAACCTTGACCGAAATAAATTAGGATACATGGAAGCCAACAAAATAATAAAGAGTATAATTCTTGAGCACTAATACTGTAAAGGCTTATTTGAATGTTAATTAGCGGTTTATTCAAATGTCAGTCTTTTATTTTCTCACCGTCAGCAGCCAGAGCTGTCACTATGCTCGGCTGAGTGGGCCCCGTCTTCCCAACTCCTCCGTTTTCAAAAGCCGGCTGGTTGTCCAACTCTTGGAGCTGCCAATTGAGGCCAAAAAGGTGCATTGCTGTGAAATACACAAAAAAGCTGCGTGGGTTTGTAGAAATGGATAAACAAATAAGCAAATAAGTTGAACATAACAAGCCGCTTTAGCACAAAAGACCTGTGGGAGAACACAATGGATGGATCCAATGCAGGCAGAAAAACACATCAGTTTAACTTCCAACTTTTCTGTTTTTTCAGGCTACTCAACAATGGGTGGGCTTTGTGTAAACAGCGTGCTGACAGTCCAGACAAAGTCATTTAGATCAATACTCAGGAACCCTGTTGCTCTCTCATGTTTCCTTTGGGAGCACTGTTCATTAATGTGCCACAGTGTCTGCACACAAACAGCTACTGTATCAAAGAGAGCAGAATTTGTATTTTCATAAAAAAGCTTTCACTTCAGACAAGCAGAAATGACACACTGGGAGAGTGTTGAACTCTCTAATTCAGTGTGATAAAAAGCAGGAAAGACATGGTGATGCAGTTCCATGTTTGTGAGTAAGATGGAGGGAGAGGCAGAGTCTTTTAAGAAGGATTGAGGCAGTTTATTGAGACAGACAATCACAGCAGGAGGAGGAAGTGAGTGTAAGATGCTGCAACACTCCTCTAGTTGTGTTAGATAACTAAACTTAGCTGGCTTTCATTCAGCAAACCTGCTTTATTGTCTCAGTATTGGAGGCAATCAAACTGTGTTCTTGTTGTTTTGGGAAGCTGAGGTGCTACTGTGAGCACAGCGAGAGGGCCAATCTCCTTCAAAGTCACCATCCAGAGAACATGCTGAGGAGGCATCTTGATTTCCGACCATTTGATCTGCGGGAGGAACTTCTCTCCAACACTCACCAGGAAGATGGATATTGACTGCAGCAAATAAGAAGTGGATGTGGGGCCAGAGAGAATATCAAATGTGAAGGAGACCAAAAGAGAGAGTGTAAACTAGTAAGGAGAGTGTATCAATCCATACTTTGTAAAGAAATAAGACTTGCGTTTTGCTAAGAACTTGTGAATAAGCATCATTGGAATACACAAAGCACTCTCCTTGGTATTTAAAATAGACATGTGCACTTTAGTCTTTCATTCAAGTTTAATAAAGCAGATGTATTTGAGTTTGGTTACACAGTACATTCAGCCTGCATAACCCTCTGTGTCAAAATCAATGTTGGCTGCATCTGAAACAACCCAGAAACAGTGGTGCCACTGGTCCATCAATATCTTATAACTCAGACTTTTCTCTCTGAATGGACACCCAGCGTGAAAACCTATGATCCATGCAGTTTGTTCCTTTTTGCTTCACATATTTTTATTGAGATGTCCTGTGTCAATTGATTTTATGGTTTAAAACATTTCTGAATATTACTTCAGTTTCAGATATATGTGCACATTCCCTGGCAACACAGATAGACACAAACACAATCTTCAACTTAACATAATCCGCCAAGAATCAGAAATATTTATAAAATAGTTAATTAGTACCCTAACACTAAATCCAAACATTGGACTGAAAACTTCTTCATTTAAATACAACCTTTTTCTTAATGTTTAAATATCTCAATTTATTGGATTAACATATTGTTGGTTTGTAACTGAGGAATGGCTCCAGATTTCTTAAAAAACAGTGTTAGCTCGGACCGAAATTGTAAGTACCCAATGAGGTAATGGGGCACTAACTTAAAATAAAAACAGCCTTTGCCTGAAAAGAAAGGGACATCTACTCTAACAAATTGATTGTCACTGTGAAGTGAAAGCAGGGTAAGATATTACTCAAAGAGTAAAAGGTAGCATAATCTGTTGCTTAACAAACCTGTATTTAGAAACCTAGTATTAAGTGTTTTGAAAAATGAATCATTTCTAAGCTGACAAGAAGAAGAAGAAGAGAAGACAGGACACCAGCTACAAAATGACACATGAACAACAGATGGTGCTCTTAAACACCAGATGTTGTTTGCCTTAGTGCTGAAGATTCAATCATATTTGTATTGTATTTTTAATGCTAATGATAGCAGATCTGTGAGACTGTGTTTAGGCACATTGCTGCTTTGAGCTGGTAGCAAACATTAGCATGCTTACATAGTGAAAATGGTAATATGCTGATAATTAGCAGGTATCATTGAACAGGTTTACCATCCTAATTAAGAATGTATGTTAACATTTGAATGATTATCATTGCTAAACACAAATTAATCTGAGGCCAGTGTCATTTTCTGGTTTTTAGTTTTCGGTTTTAAACCGAAGTGAAAACTTTGACGCAATGCTGGTTTCAAATGAAAGGTCTGTCATCCCCTATGTAGTATAATTTCTAAACAATGAAGCACATTTCCCTGCATTTCATCCATTATCTGTCAAAATATTTTACTCTAACCTACAAATATCTGCCTCATGGTAAAAGTCAAAATCAGAGTCTGAAAACCTTTCCACCGGCTTGGTTCCTCATTACAGACTTTAGCCCATTTAACAGATTAGTCTAGAGACTCTCTACACGTTCACATCTCCCAGTATCCCCACATTTTCACAGTGTGTGACGGTGGGCTCTCGTGTATCAGACACTCCGCAGAACCACGAAGAGCCTTCACTGCCCGCTGGGCGCCACGACCCGAATCCCCATTTACCTCATCAACAAATTGCTTTGAGGTGAATAACCCTCAATTTGTGAATTTGCATAAGTTATTCCTGCAGCCTAGGCCAGTTCGATTAATATTTATGGGCCGTGAGCAATTCTCTTACTGAGCAAGAAGCAGCAAAAGCTAGCCTCTAATCTCAGAAGTCAAAATGTGCCCTCTGGAACACCTCCACAGACGATGAAAGGGACATTGAATTTGTAGGTTCACACAATGTTAGTTTGAGCCCTGACATCCACATGGTATTTAGTGTACAGAGGCACAATCACGTTTGCGCTGGAAGACACAACATGAGCCCCAGATAATTCTCCTGGCAGCTCTCAGAGCAAAATCCCTATTTAGTTCATAACATTTTTGTTGGGGTTGTTACCTGAAAAAAGGGCTAATTATTTTACAGATGAAGGTTGCATGTGTTCTTTGTGGGAACAAATAAACAATTATTTTTAAGCTAAGCAACCTAAGGCTTTTAAAAACACAAATGAGAATAAAACCTCTTAAGTGTTTCCTGTTCAAATATGCAGAGGACGCCTGTCTGATGGCTATCATCACCGAGAATAATGATTCGATTTACCACAGAGAGAGGTGACCCATCTGGAGCCCCGGTGTGCCAACAACTACTTGGAGCTCAACAGCCTCAACATTATTGAGATAAACATTATTTTATGCTGGAATCTGCCTGCAAATCCTCACAGAAACATCCTGGGGGACTCCCTGTTCTCTAGGATAGTATCTCCAACAACCTCAAATGGAATGACAACATCTGTAACACAAGATCGACCAAGACAAGGTGTTTTTCTTTTGTACCTGCGGCAATTGACAAGCTCCCTGTTTCCTTGGGTTAGTCTCTGTGGGATTTCTTGATTTTGTGTTAGTTTTAGATTAGTATCAGGAGCAGACTTTTTATTTTCCAACACAGTACTCATCACCAATGAGTGGAAACAACCTGTATCAACCACTCTCCTCTGCTGGCACGGCCTTGTTAAAACCATGTCAACAATTTCATGAGAGCCATCATTTTAATCAACCAGCCTTCACTGAAAAACATAACAAATCCAAAATTGATTCTAGCCTTTACCAATAAATTACATTAGCGTGGTACAAGGTTGCAGTAAATTAGATTCTTCACATTTACAAAGCCACTGCTAACGTAACATAATCCTGGCTTCATATAATGACTTTAAATTATATATTTTTCTATATTTGTGTTTGACAAAAGAAGTCTATTGTTTGTGCGGTTCAATTTGGAGGGCATTTTCAAGAATCCACATGCTGTTTCTGCATCCAATCAGTGCATCAAAGCTGGACCTGGTCCTGATTGGCCTCCCCTGTATCTGAACAATTGCTGAAATCCTTCCAATCAGGCTAGTTTGCAGAACTGGAACTGGAAAGCCTCACCTCAGCAGGTTTGCCTCATTTGAATTACAGGAGCTGCTGTCAGCCAGGGTCCAGTTGCATGTCTGTTCTCCACGCTTTTCTTCAGATTAATTCAATAAGAAAACCTTTTATCCAAACTATTTGTTTCCAAAATATCTTGAGGCATATCAGTCTTAAGCTCAACAAAAACAGTCTTATCAAGAACAAACTGAAATTGAATATTATGTTACAGTTTAACATGTAACAGATGTAGATGTGCCTGTATTTGTACTAATGGGACTGTGCGAGCTGACAGTAAAATAGTATTAAAGCATGAGTGCACGTTGTGTCTATTTGAGTCATTGCACCTGGCAGGTGAATTGGCGGTGGATGAAAGCGAGAGGAAGTGGTGGAAACACTCTCAGACACCTGAGGCAAGTGGCACTGGGCTGCATCTGTTTAACTCTCACACACACAGGCACACTAACACATGCACACACACACACACCGTAGGAGATGGAGCACCAGGAACACACTGTGGAATCAGGCCAAAGATACAATTCCCAAACAACCTACAGGTCTACAATTAAACAAGTTGGTGAATGTCGAGATGAACATGTTGTGAATGAATCCAATCTGCTACAAATGTTAGTGACAACAGCTGAACAAATTAGGGGTTCGGCTCCTTTTCCCTGTGTAAACTGAGCAGATCTGCCACTAGCTGACATAAAAATAGCAACTGATCCCTACACACAGAGCAGCGACTAAGATGTAAATGTATGTTTATATCCATACTAATTTTATGGCATCATGAATGAAAACAAGTACAAAACTGTTAAGTCAATAGGCCATTGTGAATATTGATATAGCACATTTATGACCTATCCTCCAAGAGAGCACTCCCCTTTCCATCTCCCAATAAAACACTGGTTATAGGATCTTCCCAACAACCTCATATTTCTCCTTATACAACTATGTCACATTTCCTCTGCCTCCAAGCATGCTGAATACTTATATATCCTCTGAGGGAGAGAGGCACAGTGTAAAGATTAAGGGCTTGGATGACAAGGGAGGGCATGAGGAGACATGAATCTGTAACAGGTTTATTGCTCTGGTCGAGATTCTAAAGGTTAGCAAGAAGTCAGCTTTGACACACGCTGTAAAAAAAAAACATCCGAAAGTCTTCTCATAGGATATAATGCCCAACGGATGGGGGGGGGGGGGAGAGAGAGAGTCTTAAGCAAGTCTTGGTTGAAGCACAACAAAGGCTTTGTGGACCAAGGTCTTCTTTTAAGATCAAGTGTTTGCTGCTGTTTCCTTTGTTATAAGGGCTCCTCAACTGTTTTATTTTGAAGCTGCCACCTGTGCTGGCCATTTGAACAGCCCTGCTTGTGTTATAGCAGAAACCCCTGAGGACATACATTCTGTGAACTGGGGATCCAAAGTCTGGGGATGATGCACAGCAGCCTGTCAAAAGAAAACAGGCAGGAATGTCTTGTTGGAAACTGTACTCGGGCCATGTCTGCATATCGGACCGAGAGCTTAGTCAGACAGACGCTACTGAATCATATCAGGACATCTTCAATTTCTGCAAAAAGGAAAAAGCAATGAAATAGAAATACTCCTGGCAGCGATCAAACTTCATACAGATTAAGCGGCTACATTCACTCTAGGGAGCTTGTCTATCATTTGTTCCCTTTGACCGAATGACATGTCTAAAGATTGTCTAATGCCGGGCGCAGATAATGGAGTCAGGTTTACTCTCCCTACAACCTAAAGAAATATGTTGCCACTTGCACAAAATCTGCTGGTTTTCATGCACTTGGGCTGACAAGCGTGCGTTGCGCCTTCAAATCAGACAATAACAACAAGTGCACAGTGAAATGTTCGTACCAAAGCCTCGGTGTATAGTTAATTTGGTCTGGCTAGATGGTTTCAAATGCACAATACCAAGGTGTACACATTGGATACCGTATGAATCTAATAGTGTTAACACACCGACGCCCTCTACAAAAAATATCCTCATGCCAGGCTCGGAAATACAGGCTGATATTTCCTTCAATTGCCCCTCCAGAGAATCAAAGTTCTGGTCTAAGCCCCTATTTGTGCAGCTGTTCAGCATGGAATATCTGGTAATATGAGCAGTTTAAAGATAAGATGTTCACCTCCTGAACTGCTTTCAAGCACGAGCAGGGACTGAAGTCTTGCAATGTGACGAGAAAAAGAGAAGACTTTTAAATTGCTACTTGTGTAGGATGCAATTTTGAAAGCTGGTAGGAGTGTGGCCTTGAACTGTTGCTAACGTGTTGTCAACCGTACAAATTAAGAGTTGGGGAGAGCGTGTGGGTAAAAGTGAGAAAGTAAATCAGTGTGTATTATTGAGACATGAAGAGAATCAAAAGCAGAGCAGCTTTTAAATTACTTTGAGGTCAGTCCAAATCAAAGTGTCAACACCTTGACAGCACGTCCAAGTCATTCACTCATTAGTCTTTATAAACAAATTGCAAATCAGGATGGGAAGACGTTCAGTTCTGAATGCTAACTATTCAAATGGCATGGTTTATGGTTTTGACATTTTCCTTTTCAAGCTGTATTAATTGTTTCAGTTTTTTTTTCATTGCTGCGGCCAACACCCTTTGGCGCATATGTCTAATAAATAAATATGTGGTGACTGAATGTTATTTGTGAGCATGTCATCAGTCTCATATCAAAAGTCTGAATGTTTTTGCTCTCAAGGGCAAATGCAAAGCTTCAGGGATTCTCAAGTAGTCAAATCTGCATCAAGCTGCACATCATCATTTTTTTTCAACACTATATTTCTGACTAGGAAAATGTCTGTGTGGCCAAACAGACAAAACTAGCTGATCTGTAGCCCTTATTAACATAATATTGTCGAATAATCTGACATGCACTGTTTTCTAATGTTGTCATTTGGCTGTGTTACAGATCATTCATTCTCCTCATGCATATTGATTTCAAAATATCTTTAAAACACCCAAACTCACCCTTACCTATGCAGTAGCAGAGGACGATGGACAGAACCACAGCGATCCCCACGGCGACCAGGGCAGTGCACTTCCAGGAGCAGTGTTTCGGCGACTTCTTGAACTTGAAAGCTCCTCTGGAGAGGCTGTGTCTGGGCAGAGGTCGAGCCGGTGTGGAGTAAACCGTCCCTGTAGCCATGGTGTACCCGGGGGCGGCTGTGCCAAAGAAAGGTGTTGTTCCTGTGCCCGTTTTAAAAAGAAAATGCCTGCATAGGGGAAAAGAAGAAATAGGAGAAAACGGGTATGGATTAAATCAGCATCCCAAAAGATGCAATGCTTCATGTACTGTATGTCCAACTTAAAACCGTTTTCTAGCTGGATTCAAAAGCCCAATTTGCTCCTGTTCCAAAGCTATGCTCAATAGCTCAAATCAAAACAATTAACCATTTAACACCAGGCACATCCATGTGTCTCACACTGCAAGAGGGACTGGGTTTAATTCTAATATTTAGCTCAATCCTGACATTCGAAGAGGTGAACAAAAAGTACCTCATAAAAACAATCATCTCCCACTTGCCCTTTTACAAAGGGGCCTTTGCTAATAGCCCATTATACCTGGGGTAATTAAGAGGGTTTAATCAAATGCACTACAGAGTGATCGTCCTATTAACTTTTAAACCCCACGTGAAAAGCTCTTAAGTAAATGAATTAAGCCTTGTTGCCACTCTTGCCACTACTTAGAGATTAATACCCAAATGCCTGTAGGCTTATGGGGACGGCGGGGGAAATTGGACAGATTGACCATGCATTGCAAATACTACTTCGCACCAGAATTGCAGAATTTCATGTCTCAACTTTTTCCATTTAAAAAATAAATGAAATTGCCAACAGTATTGACTTTTTCTGGGATAATAAAGCTTCATTATCGTTAATTATTCACCATCATACCAACATTCAACAAGAAAGCCCATTAGCCATGAATTGAAAGGAAACAGCATTTTACCCAATAATTTATACCACTGCATCAATTTCTGTGACTTTGGTATTGAATTATATTATTTTGACTATGGAAAACTCAAATTTACATTTAAAAACGTAGAGGTTAGCCTCTCTTATATAGCCGTCACTGAACACCATGATGTCACAAGTACTACCTCTACTACTACACTCTTAAACACCCAAACATACCTTCATCAATGATTTGTTTTGACTGTAAGGCTTGGATAGATAGTGTGAAAAAATAAGCTTCTGAGTAATTCCTGACTTCTGAATGTATGGTCAAAAATGTATGTTTTAACACCAAGAGCATTCATATATGGCAAGTGAAAGAAATCACAATTCCAAGCCATTATTAGTGGCTTTCTTGAAAATCGATACCTTCTTGGATTTTGAGTGGCTTACAGGCTTTTTAAAATAGCTACCTCATAGGAGGAAAATGTTAGGACTTGTATCCACTTTTGAAAGATGTTCCTGGTTTCTTAAAATGAACTTCAGCACTACCAGCAGCCCCGCAGAAATATATTGACTGGAACATTTGGGGGTTAAATAAAGTTTGGTTAAGTGCAACGAAGTGGCCAGGAAAAGCAGGGCTACTTTCTTGCTCTTGCACTCTGTCATTTCTGCTAAAAGCCTTATCCAACGTTTTTCAATTCCCAGAGGAGGGGATTGCCATGGACACCACATATTTAAATAAACCAATAAATTGATAAAGTAGTGTTTGCTCATCAATTATTTGTGCGGCAACTGTGAAGCCTCTATGTTCATTTTGTAACAGCTTTTTAATCCTGACTGTGAATCTGTACTAAAGAAGCTAATTGGGTGCATAATCTAAAGCTGAGCAGTTAAGCACTGAAAATCCATGTAATGGCACTTAGTGGTCACAGTTTTGCTGATTATTTGATAGGAACGATGGCCCAAATGGCTTAAACTGTTTCATTAGTATTCTCTGAGTTACACAAAATGTTGTTTCTGAAGAATTATCAATATTACCCGTCCAAAAACGTGCACAGGGAAGGTGGTAATTCGATATTTGTGAAATCGTTTTAACAGGTTTGTTTTACAAAGGGCAGATCGTAAACCTACACCATAATGCATTGCTCGTATTTCAGCCCTGCCACTGATTCTCCAGCCACCTCCTGTCTCCTGTGAGGGTATATCTGAGCTAAAATCTGCTCTGATCAATTCTTGACAAAAAGAACAAATGTCAGATTTGGATCGTCTGGCTCCTTGATGCTCCGATTGACACGTGATGTTGTGGACAGATTCCAGTTAAAGGTTACAGCATGTCACCGCTGGAATGACAATGCTGAGGGGCGTCTGCAAACCGGGAAAAGTTCAGATTCTTCAATCTGGAACAATCTGTACTGTTGCTGTGGCAGAATTCTTAATGTGCAGTTGGGTATGAATTGAGGTCAGAACGTGCACAACGTTGGAGGTGGCAGACGTGTAGTCAGACACATGGGCAAACAGCCTGCGCTATCTAGGGAGTTAAGTGTAAGTGGATGCAATCTGATGAGGTGGACAGAAATGGACGTGAGGGTGTGAGTTCATGTTTGTGTGTATGTAGTCTATTTGAGGAAGGTGACTACCAATTGCAAGTTGCTGAGATGATGTGGCGACAGTTCTCCCTGTAAATAAAAAGGTCTTATTTATGCAACGGTGTTTGTACATAACATTCTCATGTGCTTTAAGTCAAAGACACCTGAACTACATTAACATCAAAGACACATGTGGGAGTTTAATTTGAAAACATACTAACATTAAAGGGAAAGTGAGACACGCTGTTAACAGCAACATTTAAAATAAAAATATATACAATAAATCATTAAATAGTGTATTTTCACAATGTAGTTACTTGAACAACTTGAAAGCACATATTATCACCAGAAACATATGGCATGCTTAGGTTGGTTTAAAACTCAGCTATTCTGCAGTCATTTACTGTCAATAACTTTTGCTTTGTACAAGTAAAGTAAAATTAAAATCTGTGCGTACCAACTTTATAGACAGAAAATTCGGCTTTGGAGATTTATTTAATTTGTCCTTTATGTAATTCTGTTGTTTATGTTTTTCATGTCGGCTTTTTTTTCCTAATAGCAGTCTGAGGAGTCTGGAAATGATGCTGTTGGACATGATTAACCAACAGCAGACCAGTGTAAATGTCTGCAGCTATACACAGTGGATGACCGGCTAATTGATTACAGCCAGTGTGATGCAACAAGGCACATTACTATGCTAATCCAGCCAGCTCTTGTGATAGCAAAGTGGTGTGCTTTGAGTGTGAGGGAGAGAGAAGGAAAAGAGACAATCAAAAGAGTGTGAGACTGAGGGAAAGAGAGCAAATGAATGGCCGGCTGTCAGTGTGATCGCAGTGCATTTGTGTGCACGCCTGTCTGTCCCATTGAGAAGCATGTAACACAAAAGCAGCAGCGAGCCGGCTCTCCTCTGCTCTCACAACATTGCTTGTCATCGGGATGACATTTGAAAACATCCTCACAGAGGACAAAAGACTAAACATTGAGTGGGTGGATTTGTCTACGGCTAAGCAAGAGCTGAAAGGTTGAGAGAGCACACTATAAACAATGGGAATCGAAGCCCTTGGAATATGTAATCTGCCTATTAGCTTAAGTTTTGTGTTAGCATTAGCATTTCAAGGTGAGAGCTGGAAAAATCCGACGGCTTTCATCCGTGGCTGAAAAAAGACTACAGATGTGTCCGGCGTCGCGGTGGTTCGTTTTCACACATGCTGCCGTCGCCATCGCTCTCCCCCAGATCGCCACCTGCCCTCCCAACAGGAGGCCTGCTGGCAGGTGCTATTCTAGTACAGCTAGCTCGGCACCCGGGCAACAGTATTTCAGTCCCGACAAGCTTTTCTTTGCCGTCCTGCCCATGGAGATCAGCGTGGTGCCATCTTGAGTCGCTCTCTCAGAGTGCTCAGATTGTTTGCACATTGAATTTTTTATATTTAACGAGATTGATTCAGTTTGACATAAGTGGAGCTCAGCTCTCATGCACATACATTTAAGATGATCTTTGGAGTCTACCTTCTGAGATTTTCCGGGGCTAAATCCTGATGGCCAATTTAGTTGAAGTGTATGTACTGTAAGCTGTAGGTTACATTTTTTAATGTTTACCATTTTGTGTGCATATCACTATTTAGTCCACTATCCCTATCCATCATCTTTTCATGTAAGCTTTTACATTTGCTGACAATCATCAAGACCAGACGTCCTTTGTATTGCCAGCAGCAGCCGCAGCTAATGCAGTAGCTCATAATAAGAGGAAACTATTGAAGAGCTCAGGAATCACCACATAAATGTGAAATGTGTGCTTGGCACTAAAATATGTTGGCATAATAAATGAAAAGGAAAACACACACAAGAAAAAAAGGAAACAAATACATCTTGAGGATTACCACTTTGTCTACACCACCATCCATTTTGGCAGGTAACCAGCCATCACTGTGAGCTCCTTTCTATTCCAGAAGGCTAGTTGGCCAGTATCTTACACATGACTAATCAGACCTGGTGCGCGATCCTAACACCATCACTCGTGTGGGAAAAAAAAGTTACATTTTCCACCTTTGATGTGAAGCACGACTGCCTGACTCATGATTTTCATGGACACCCCACACAAACAACTACACAGACACACACACAAAGACACAAAATCCTACTTGGATTACCTCTGCTATTATGTTTTTCACCCCAGAGAACAATTCCAACACATATTCTATCAGGAAAATGTACTGTCTGTGGGACACTGCACCACATGATGATTTTAGAGCCGAGGCATAATTTCATTTCACAAAAGGACTCCCTTGACGCATGAATCCAACGGGGATTGGCAGCATATTTATAACTGCAACGTGTGGCTGGGCAGGTCTTCAAAAAGGCTCTGTAGAATCTGAAATGTCATAAGGACTTCACTGGCAGAATCTCATTGAATCTAAGAGGGAAGAAAATGCTAAAATAGGCTATAAAGGACATACATATGTAAGAGCGTACCTGTATCTTATCCAGTGGAGCACTTATTATACAGCTTATATTTTGCACTATAAAGGGCGTAAAAAAAGACTTATTTCACACATACTGGTAAAGTCGATCTTAAACAAAGGATTAAGCACTGCTCAAGAATAATTACCGTATATGTGCATTGGTCTCGTGGGGGGGGGAAATGGCAATTCATTTCATAATGAAATTCAATGGAATACTTCTAATTGAAAATATCTCAAAAACCTATTTCAGTGAATCCAAGTGGTTAGTAAGGGATACCTGAGGGGTTTATTAAAAGTACTCCACACACTTTAAAGATCTGATTGTCTCTTATGCACTTGAGAATAGCAACGAGCAGCAAGCATCACTGCTCTGCTGCCGACTAATTGAGCCATTTGAATGGAGTGGTATTGGTAAGAACAAAGCAGAGTCGAAGTTGAAGTCGAATCATTTCATAGAATCAGCTGAAGTGCAAACCTTGCATTTGTTATGGTGATAAAAAACAGGATATCTTTTGGTCCTTGTAAATGTTCTTCAGAATTGCTATGCTTTGTGTCCATTTATAATGTTACAGTACAAACACGTATTGACACGTCATTTTTATTACTCAAGTACCACTTAAAGTGTTTTTCCGAGTTGTAAAAGACGGCTTTAATTGTCGGTATTATGCTTTATATTTTAGTAATGACCCAAAATCAAACTTGGATGTCTTAACACAGCTCTGACAGTATGATCACAGTGGGATCAGTGACTTTATTCAATCAGAATATAATAATGAAAAGTAGTTACAGTAGAAGTTTCAGCAGCACAGCACTTCACTCATTTTAAAGAACACTGAAAGCTACTCACAGTGAAAGCTAGTTGGTATTGAGTCAAATTAGCACACTCGTGCTTTGAAGACTAGCACTTTTATGGGAGGTTGCACACACATAATTAATTACTGCTAATTGCTGTAAAAGTAGCTAATGCTGTCAACTGAGTGCTTTATTTTCAAGGAGGTCATGTCAAAGGAAATATATTAAACAAGATCATAACACTGGGATTTATATTTGACACTTTTTTTAATCAAGTGTCAAGTAGAGAATAATTTACTGACTGCACATGTGACACCCTTGCTGCGTAAGAAATGAAAGGAGGATTGTCAATGTGGAGGATTTAAAAGAGATTCACATCCCTGTGGTACTACCTGAGGCCACTATGTGCTGGACAAAACCCCCTGAAGGCTTCCTAATAAATACTTTCTGGAGCTTCTGTTTACATTTCCCAACCTGGTGTTTTTCTTGACATCTGCAATTACGTGTTGAACCGGGTCTTCCCTTTTTTGCCCTGTTGGTTTGCAACGGCCCGCAGTTCCCACCCACTGACAAGCACTTGATTTAGAGTCCTCTGTGGTGATAGTGATTTATGCCTCCGCTGATGATAGGTGCGCACATACTGTTCTGTCGATACAGCTAAGACAGCTCAAGGTCATTGCACGGTTAGTGTTCAATCACCACGTCTTCCGTAGAAAGTTAAACTGTCAATTCATATCCCAATTGATTCAGTCGGATCATAAGAGGTTGTTGCTTTATGCTGCCACAATTGAAATGCAAAGTTTACATTCATCCGAGCCTCAGAAAGGGTACGCTGTGCCAAAGAAATATCAGGCTAGAATGCAATCATCTACTGGAGGCCATATTGAGTCAGAGCGCAATGTACCACACTTCATTAGCCAGGATAGTTTGAGCGCGCTGATTAAGAGAGATGTAACTGATGTTTCAGGAGGAACACTTGGCAGTACTGTAGTTCTTATGACAAAGTAGTATCTCGCACAGCAAATTTGGATATAACCGACAATGCCCTTCCAAAGTTCTTTGTGAAGTTATAGCCTCCCTGACTTGAACTGGCAAGCTCTCTGATATGCACTTAGTTCATTCTATTCATCCTCTGCCATTGACTGCAGGTAGATCTCATTTAGCAATCAGCCCTTAATTGTATTCACTCACAATTAAGTGATACGACTATGAAAGAAGTATTCTCAAAAGAGGTAAAAAAAATTATGTTTGTCAAACTCAGTGGGGATTTTATTATGGCATGCACAATTTTAGTCATGATAATTGATCCTGATGAGGTGTAGTCCTTAAAATATGCCTGCAATCTGCCAAATTTAATTATCTAAAATCCTGGAGCGAATTGTCTTTTTTTTTTACACCTATTTTTAGAGGGGTAGCATTAAAAACATTAATAAAATCATCCCAAGTGTTTTAAACAGTAGCAGTTTGATGGTTGTCTTGGGAAGGCTGTAGAAATCATGTTGTGAGCGAGAGGCACCAGAGTGAAATTGGAGTATGATGCAGCGGGAGATCAGGCGATGTTCCAACTTTATTTTTTATTCGCTCTGTGTTCCTACCAAATTCCTTGTGCTCCACTCCACTCACACGCTCTGATGTGGAATACAAGCCTCATGCATGCTGAGTTTTCCAGCGTTTCTTTTCAGCAAACAGCAAGAAGTGTCACTGCTAGGTATTAACATGTGCTGAGGTACACACTATTTAATACCGAACTTCCTTCTGCCAATGATGTGTGATAATTATTGTGTGAACCCTAAAACCTTAGCACGCTGTACAAGCGATAAAGGTGTGGTATAGCCACACAAAAACAAGCACTATTATAAAGCTGTAATTTATCTCTGTCAAGAAAAAAAACACAGCTGGTACAATCACGACTGAGTTTTTTGGGTACGGGCCAATATCTTTAAAAAAATTGTAAAATGTGTGTGTGTGTGTGTGTGTGTGTGTGTGTGTGTGTGTGTGTGTGTGTGGTGTGTGTGTGTGTGTGTGTGTGTGTGTGTGTGTGTGTGCGTGCGTGCGTGCGTGTGTGCGTGTGTGAGTGAGAGTGAGAGTGTAAAATGTAATTATAGCTAGTGGTTCCTTCAACAATTTCCAAATGTAAAATGCTTAACATTCTGGAGCCCAATTAAAATTAAAATGCAAAATTATAATGAAACTGACATGAAATTAAAATGAACATTTCAAACAGAAACTCTGCCGCCGCTCATTTATTTCACATCATTGGGTTTTCTGAGTCAGTAGAAGTGGCCTCATGATAACACCTGGAGATGAATATTCCACGCTGTTGTAGGACATTGGGGTCTCTCACCTGCTCTCCAGGGCCACATTGCTGCCCAGGACCCAGCTGTCCTGCAGCTGGACGCATTCCGCCGTACTCTGCAAGTCGGTCGCCAGGCCGGCTGATGGCGGCGGGCTCGGGCTCCTCTGATTGGCCAGTGAGCTTCGAGTCAGGGACGTGATGGACGGATGCTGCTTGTGTGGGGGCGGGGCAGGTGGCAGAGGAGGCGGGCCTTGCTGGCAAGAAATATGGTCACCTGAAGTGAAACAGAGGGAAAGAAACATCAGCAAAATGGTTTCTGTGTTCCTTAAGTTCAATCATTTGTTTTTCAATTAAAATTAAACCCACAGTCAAGAGATTGTATATATCTCATAGACAGCAGATGGCTAAACTATGCATCTGCCTTGTGAATAACATATGACAGCACACAGCCAACCAACAGACCCAGAAAAGTAAATACAACCAAGAGCAAGACATTAAAATGAGATGCAACCACTGCAAAAAGAGGAGAAATAAGAGCTGATTTTATGGCGACACACATAATAATTGTCGCAAAACGCCACACGGCTTGACAGTTGGGTTCTCTTAAACAGAAGGTCACTTAGAGAGGCAGCTGTTCTTTTATGAGCGCTTAACGCGATGTTTCACGTTTGATTACAGCCAGAGAAGACTCTCAAATAACTAATGACCAGAACATCCATTAGAGCTCTGAGAGAACAGGTTTTCCAATTTCACACAAAGCTGTGTAATTGGCCCCCAGAATGGCATGTGGTGATTATCTATCCATCTTCTCCGTTTAAAAGGTAAAAACCCACACTGCTGACAATTCTGATTTGCTCCAATGAGCTTCAAATGGGTATCGTCTTTCTTGCCTTTGAGAGGCTCGGAGAAGATTGAGAAAGCTGAGAGTTGCGTCTTTTAAGAGCTGTTGTTTTTGCATGGACAGCATGAATTTTTACAAGGCCTTAAGGAGATAAATGTAGAGCATACAAACGCTGGAGGTCAGTTCTGGTGCATGCTTTAACCTTTGCTTCCTCAACCATGCGTAAGGACCTTGTGGGCTTTAAGCCATGGATACAAATCTGCTCTGTGCTATTAGCGTGACAGAACAACTTAATTGAAAGGACACTAGTCATTGTTTTTAAACAAGAGCCTTTAATAACCATGCAAGTTGTTGTCCTTGTCCATGTACCTGTCCTCCTATGCATAAAACAAGATGTACAATGCCGGTAAATGAGCCATGTATTTAACCTTAGATCCATAAGTGGGTCTTGTTTGACCCGGTGAGGTGGTTTTATTGAAGTATCTTTGTAATTACATTTTTTTTATCATTTCATATTCCAGCTATTCCTCAAAAAACATGTTTTGGATATCATGCCATTCTAATTTTAAATTTACATTTGATACATTTTAAGAAATTGTAGTTTTTGTATTACTACCCCAAGCTTCCATAAGTGGGTCTTGTTTGACCCGGTGAGGTGGTTTTCTTGAAGTATCTTTGTAATTACATTTTTTTTATCATTTCATATTCCAGCTATTCCTCAAAAAACATGTTTTGGATATCATGCCATTCAAATTATTTATTTACTTCTTAAGAAATTGTAGTTTTTGTATTACTACCCCAAGCTTCCATAATTGGGTCAAAAATGACCCGCATGCATTTTCTATGGAATCCTATGGGAAAACATTTTTTTTCAAAATGTAAAAAAATGTTCTAAAATTATAAATAGTGAAAAATTAAATCTAAAATATTTCTAGTGTGAACCAAAATATAATACTAAATATTATACAAGTGATTTTTCTTAACCAAAATGACACAAATGGCATAAAAACACATATTATTCTAATACGGGTCCTTTTTGACCCACTTATGGAAGACTGTAGTCACTCGTCACTGCATCTAAGGGTTAAAAAGTGCAAAAATAATTGTAACATGAATGCCATTCAGAAACTAGGAAATACTTTCTATCCCTGTAGAGTAAAAACCTTCAGGCTACTATGCATGCAGGCTCTTGGTACGCCTGAGGATTGTTTCTGAAATAACACATCACAAGTGTAATTGAACAAAAATTGTAGTAAGAATTATTATCAAGAGTAAAACCCTTCACCACAAGCTGTAATAAGGTTTAGCAGGGGCAGGTCGTGCCAATCATTTCTTTGAGTGATTGCTGGCATGGATTTTTTGATTTGTTTTATAACAAAATACTTTTTAAGATTGTCTGTTTCATCTGCATAGACAGACAGATATATCAACAGACAGATAGACAAGTGATAAAAGACGAGCAGTGTGGATCTGATTCAGGGATAACAAAATTGCATGATGCCGCTGCAGAAGGCCAATCAAACATGAATTAATGATCCATTACATTTTGATCAAATATGAGCCCTCATCAACCCATATTACCTTCTTCAAAGTCAATTCTGATCAACTGCAGTATGAAAAACATAAGATCACATGACATGATAGCGCCGCAAAAGGCATCCCACTCATCTCCTGGTCTAGACTGAGAGCCCCATTAAAAAAGAGCTAAAAGTAGGCTAATAGAAATGTGGATTATCTACCAGCACCGTCCAGTTTTACTTCACCTCGGGGCCTTATTCCATTGTAAGAGCCTGCAGCAGACAGCGCCACTTCACTTTCAAGCAAAAGCATTTTTCATATAATCAGCACACACTGATGTAACGGTGCAATGTCAATGAGGGGGGCAGAGGGAAATGAAGAAGAGAGGACAGGCAGATGTTATATCATAGAGGTAAGGGGAATGTTGACGGGCAGAACGTATTATTTTTAGAACTGTATATTCTTAAAATCAAAAAGAGTGAGAGTTTCTCCCACACACTCCCCCCCCTGCCTGAAACACCGGTAGACTGATCACAACATAACTGGCTAGTTAACCAATCATAGCATACTGGGCTCTGGTTTCAGACAGAGGGTGACAAGAGGTGCTGCAGCACAGGCAGTATGAGAAAAATAAATATATTGTTTTAACCTTAAAGCATGAAAACATGTCACAATAGAGGCACCAAATACAATTATGAAACCTGAAAATGAGCTCAATAGGGCCCCTTTAATGACCATAACAAGAAAATGACATGACATTTTAGTTGAATTAAGTGCAACATGCTCTTCAAACGTATGACAAACTGCTGTCTTTGTTTATCCTGTACCAACATCATCCTATTATCCCACCCACATACAGTATGAAACACTCATTATTTGTAAACAGTACACCTTCCCTTCACACCTTACAAATACAGATGCACGACTGAAATTGGACAAATTGGTATCCATTTATCTTCATGTCTACATATCGATCTATTGGCATATAGTGCAAGTCAACATCTTGATTGCCCTTGTTTGGTTTGCAGGTTTTCCTGTGGCGGCAGCCCTTCAATTGAGAGTCTAAAATGCAGCAGTCATATGAATATATGTAGTGCAGGGGCATTATGGTTGATGGGAATTGTGCCGGCACAGCAAGCACAGAGATGAGTTTCAATACGTCAACACTCTCTTTATGGTCAATCTTAAGTCAATTTCTGATGAAAGGCATACCTGAACTGTAACAGGAAATGAAGTGTGTTTTTAGGTGAGCATTACACAAAACACCAAATCCCCAAAAACCTTCAAAAAAGGCGAAGGATTTGACATGCAGCAAATCTGACTGCATAATCCCACAATGAACCAAGGGAACATTAAACCCCACAAACTGAATTAAACCAACTGTGTGCATACTTTGTAAAAAAGCACACAAAGCTTATGGGGGAATATGAAGTCTGCCACTTGAAATGCTGCGTTTGAGTTAGCCGATTTACAACAAATTGAAACAGTGTGTCACTTAAAGCTAAAGAAACAAAAGTGTATATACTATTTACGTCTTTCTAACACAAAGAATGTACAGTTCATTGGAAAAAAACACAAGAAACACAAAAACAAAGAGGGTTTGTCTTTATCCTCAGAGGGTTAAAAGGGCAGAGCTATGTGAACAGCAAGACAGGTTGCTATGTTACAATAAGTGCATTGTCTCTCTTTGAACATGCGAGAATGTATGGGAGGTTGTTTAAATATACATTTCAAATGACCAAAAAATGTACATTGTTTGTGTTATTCTTATATATATGTGATAGGAATATGCCAAAGTTCAACCGTTTGTATATATTCATCGTACCATAATGAAGAAAGTAACAGCTGTGAGAACACATCTAAAATGGCTTCTACATTACCGTACGGTTCAACAAACACACCCACACACCTCTTAATTTATGAGCACACATAAAAGTCTGAGTGGTAACTTTACCGGTCACTTTAACTTTTGAGTTATTACCGAACACCAAGTAATGCGCTTTTAAGTATTAAGATCTGCAATCTGACTCCTTGTGGATTTTGAGTGATTAATTATGCAAACATGTTTCAAATTTAAAGGATCTTCTCATCCCCTTAATCTTAATTTATGTTAGGTTAAAGATCAAATGGTGCAACGGTTGGATTTTTTTTTAAAAGAGACTTGTTTATGATTTCTCTCTGCTTCAACCCATCTGGTGAGCACTGACTTCACAGGTTTGAATTTTTATATTAGAATCACCATTTTAATTGTATGCTCCATTTCATATACAACTGTTTAACTAAGTCTAACGTCTAGACTGTATGCGGGTCATTTTTTATTTAGAGAATAAACCCAGAAGAATATATGAAACCATGTGCTTCCTCAATGTGTTCTCAATGTCCCTGCACACAGCAAGTGTCACTATGTGTGAGAAATAACATCACTGTGATTCCATGTAACTCTGTGAGCAAAATGTAGCACCAGCAGTGCAGTGTTCCCGTGCCGTCTCTGTGCACTGTCAGGGTTTTGAAAAATACAGGGGCAAACCCATGCTAAAATATGGGTTTTTAGCACTGCATTACTGGGAATTAGATTATGCGCCACTGCCAAGCATGTTGGATTCTGTGTTTTAAAAAAGAAAACTAAACAATGAGCCTTTAAGAAAGTTTGGCATTATGCTCCATCGAGACACATTGGGAATGAAGCTGGCTTTTTAAAGTGCAGGCTCACTGAGTGAGAAGGCAGATGAAACAGCTGTGTGGTTTATGGAGTCCTGCTTTGAAATCAGATCAAGAAGGATGCGTCCTTTGCATAATTCTTCAACGTCAGCTTGTCATCATCTCCATCAGCAACATGCTTTAAAAGACCTTTGTGATTAATACTGCATGCCAGCGGTGAAACGACAGACTCATTCCCTTCTTAATGATGCTTGCAA